ACTTTGGACACGCGCCGTTGAGAATTCATACTTACCTGGCGTAGGGGATACCGTGATCAAGAAGGCGGTTCCCCCAGGGCGAGGCTCTCCCATTGCACTGCGGTTGGGTTGACCCCTGCGATTATCCCTAATGTGGATAACTCGGACGCGTTATTTTTGGTAGTGGGGACTGCGTACGCGCCGTCCCCCCCCTTACACCCCCCTATAATAAGTTAAAGGAAAGGCATGGATATTAAGGATATGTCTCCGTTAACGATTATAGAAATGTTTTGCACGGGACCAGCTTAGACACTTTTGTACTGTATTTATCGCTTTCAGATCTGTCCGAAGAGTTTCATTATGTATGAAACATTTTTAATATCGGATCCAAAGATCCAAAAAATTTAATATATATCCAAAAAATATGAATGATGTTTTTATTCGTTTGCTCTCTTTAATTTTCGGAATTAAAAAATCTCTAGATGCGAGGTCCTGGCTGTATGGCGGGCACGTTATCAATAACACATTTGAGTTCTTCGAATTCGCATACGCCATCTGACCTGAACGTCTTTCGTGAGATTTCACTAGCATTCTAGGCGAGCAATTGTTTAAACCTTGGTCTGTCGGGTAGCGCACTATGAAAAATGCGCTGTCTGTCGGTGAAAAACAGTCGCGCAATTTTGCGTCTTTCTTCGGAACAATATTTATAGTGAAAACCATAATCCATATGAATCAGGTTTATTTTAAAGCTATATGGATGGCTTAACTTTACAATCATTATATTTTTGCCTTTGTAGAATGTTTGTATTGTTTACTAGAAGCAATTCTTGTTATTGCTAAGGCGAAATCGGAACACATTGGCAGAATTGGCGAGAGATTGGCGCGTCTCCCAACGGGAACACGTGCGTTTTGGTCTCTCGCCAAAGCTGTCTTGGGAAATTTCTGTAAGCCTTCTTTTCCACCCCTGCACACGGAGGATGACTCGCTGGCCCATGCCACGAAGGAGAAAGCCGATCTTCTAGGCTCTCTCTTCGCGTCCAACTCGACTTTGGATGACCGAGGAAAATTACCACCAACAATCTCGCGTTGCGATGCTACGATGCCGGAGGTTCAATTTCGGTAAAGTGCAGTTCGCAGAGCACTCTTTTCCTTGGACATTCATAAGTCGAGTGGGCCCGATGGCATCCCTCCGATCGTGTTGAAGACATGTGCTCCAGAGTTGGCACCGGTTTTGACGCGCCTTTTCTGGCTCTCCTATACTCTAGGCGTATTCCCGAAATCCTTTAGTGCACCCGATCCCTAAGAAAGGCAACGGCTCGGATCCGTCCAACTACAGGCCTATAATAATAATAAGAATGGAGACCATCATTAACTGCCAGCTCCTGCGGTACCTAGAGGAGCACCAGCTGATTAGCGACCGCCAGTACGGGTTTCGTCGAGGTCACTCAGCCGGTGATCTTCTAGTTTACCTGACACACAGATGGGCAGAAGCAGTTGAGAGCAAGGGGAAGGCGCTTTGATGGACGCTCCATGGAGTGACTAGGCTCAAGGGCCCCCGAGAGGAGATCTCAGCTTAGGCTGTTACTCAATACCCGTTTAGCATTCCGATCTCAATCGGTAGCTATTATCTGACTGGAAGAATTTCTAAGTCTAACATTACTACGACTTCGGAAACCGTTGGCGCTGGGAGAAGAAGTGGTGGAAGAAACTCCAGCGACGCTTCTACCATTAACGGGGGAAAACCATGGTGTGATCTGGTATGTTTGCGTAATTGTTTTATCCTGTCGATGGCAATAGTCGTCTCATCGTCAGGGAAATCGAGGATGTGTCGTGGTCTGCGCCATTTGCGACGGAACGTACCTAGCGGTAAGAGTCTGTAGGTGACGGCACCTGTGACTTACGGATTGGCCCCGAAAATGGCTAGCGCTGTTCCTTTTATAGACCGTTGCAATGTGCTACTACCCTTCTATCTTCCAATAATATATTTTTGTTCATTTTCATTAAAATAGGTAAATTAACACTAAGTGGATAAAATGTACTCTACCTTATCTTTAAATTTTATAGCGATGAAGTAATTTCAAATCAATTTAAAAAATGTAATGTTCAAGCAGACAACAAAAAAAAAATTACTTTTATGAACATCCTATATTTCCGAGTCTTTATACATTACAATTTGACACAAACGAAATTTCTGTTAGATGGAAGGTTTTTTTAAAATTTACATTTTATTTATAATATCTGTATAGAATCAAAATGATGTGTAAGATAATTAGAATGTGTAATTCAAACTACGAAATATCAGTAGTCGAAAATGAAACAGAGATGACGAACGGATATATATATTTTATGTTCTTCGTTTATCGTTAAATTCTTAGTAATATTGCATTTTTCGATACGTTGTCATTGTTTTATGTACTAAATAATAAGAAAAGAAAAAATACTTACCGTTTTCCATATTTGTTTCACAAAAACAGTAATTGAAATATATAAATGAAAACATGGAGATATTCGAAATAGTTGTGAAAGAATAAATAGGTTTTTACCAGTAATAATTCTTTTAGCTATAAAAGTACGGTTCATTTATTCCTTCGCTAATTTCTCGATCGAGTTTCACGGGAAAATTAACTCTAATTAATTAATCTAGTCAGCAAATAGCTCACTATTAATCACAAACGATCTGGCGTAGATCTACGTTCCGACAGTCAACGGAAGCACAATTTGGCGCGCAGATCTCCGATCCGACAAACCAAAGGTTAAGTATCAATATAAAGTCACAATCCTTTACTTTCGAAGCAAGCGACAATGTAGTGTAATCTCCTGAAGTGCGGACAAAGAGCCAAACATTTTCTTCACGGGGCTCAGACTTTTCTTAACTATCGTCGAAAATTCTTCGAAAACTTATTCCGTTGACTGGCGATTTTTTCCCTTTCAACGCAGTGTACTCCGTCTTCGTCAGCTGTCACGATATTATTTTTGATTGTGATAGTCAGCAAAGGTCTGTTCTTCATTACACTTTACACTATACGCAGTGCATACTTGTCTTCCGTTAAAGCATGCGGTGTCCATATTTGAATAGTAACACTAAATTTTCTAAAAGAAGCCACAATGAAAAATAAATGACTTTCATAAATTAAAAAATAACAACACAGAGAGTTTCTTTTAACTAGCCACTTAAATCTTATTTATTCATGGGGCATCTACCGTCCACTCATTAATAATCGGATACATTTTTAGACGCTGACCGACAACAAAATTGTTTTGGCTTAATGATTACATAGTCTTTTTTTTATCAATTAATCATTGTATAATACGTTACTAGGTTACATAGTCTTTATTTTATAATTTACATTTTGTATAATTCACGGAAAGAGAAAACAAGATTGTTTTCTCTATTCTGTGGTACAATTCGCGTCACAATAAAACTGTCTGTTTATATTCTGTGATTTGAAACAAATACGTTCAACTTATGTATTGATGGAGCCCTAAAACTAAAATTGGATTGGATTGGAACAAACACGTAAAATTCGATAGGGCTATTGATATAGCAACGAATACAGCAATGAATTATCCAAAAAAATCTTTTCCCCCATGCGTTGTAAATAGCAAACAATCGTATTGTACACCTAATAGATATCAGAGAATCCTTCAAAAATATCTGATGTCTTCTTCAGACCGTAGAGTAATAAAGCGCCATCGAACGGAGAACTCGTGATATAGACAGAATCCATGAGCTTGTTACGAACCTCCACGTTGAGTACGGCCCATTGGGACATCTTAAATCTATATTTACACAAATATCTGATGACTTCTTCAGACCGTATGGTCCACGAGCCCAGGGCCACCAGACGTTACTTATTTTCTGAGTAACAAAATATCTCGTACAGAGTAGCGTTAGAGCATACTCTGCAGGTATCTATATAATATATCTGCTAGCTTGGGCCGGCGGCCCATTCACAGGTGCCAGGTGCTAAAGTTACATAAAAACATCACTCACATTTCTTAATGTCCGTGTGCTGATTTTTATATATATTTTACAAAATTTTGTTAGAAATTTAAAATCAATATTGCAAGCTGAAAGTCTTCGTCGGCGGTAATTTCCGCCAGACGCTTTAAAGGTTACGAAAAAATACATACCTAAATACATACCTTCAGAGTATACTCTAACACTACTCTGTACGATATATTTTGTTACTCAGAAAATAAGTTACGTCTGGCGGCCCCTTCTTGCCCTAGTAGAGTAATAAAGCGCCATCGAACGGAGAACTCGTGATATAGACAGAATCCATGAGCTTGTTACGAACCTCCACGTTGAGTACGGCCCATTGGGACATCTTAAATCTATATTTACACAAATATCTGATGACTTCTTCAGACCGTATGGTCCACGAGCCCAGGGCCACCAGACGTTACTTATTTTCTGAGTAACAAAATATCTCGTACAGAGTAGCGTTAGAGCATACTCTGCAGGTATCTATATAATATATCTGCTAGCTTGGGCCGGCGGCCCATTCACAGGTGCCAGGTGCTAAAGTTACATAAAAACATCACTCACATTTCTTAATGTCGGAGTGCTGATTTTTATACATATTTTACAAAATTTTGTTAGAAATTTAAAATCAATATTGCAAGCTGAAAGTCTTCGTCGGCGGTAATTTCCGCCAGACGCTTTAAAGGTTACGAAAAAATACATACCTAAATACATACCTTCAGAGTATACTCTAACACTACTCTGTACGATATATTTTGTTACTCAGAAAATAAGTTACGTCTGGCGGCCCTGGGCTCTTGCCCTAGTAGACTAATAAAGCGCCATCGAACGGCAAACTCGTGATATAGAAAGAATTCTTGAGCTTGTTACGAAACTCCACGTTGAGTACGGCCCATTGGGACATCTTAAATCTACACTTACACAAGTCATCGATAGATGTCGCTCATAAACTTTACGTTATTTTTGGATCGCGATGTTAAGATTTTCGCAGGGCGAATGACTTTGGACGCGCGCCGTTGGGAATTCATACTTACCTGGCGTAGGGGATACCGTGATCAAGAAGGCGGTTCCCCCAGGGCGAGGCTCTCCCATTGCACTGCGGTTGGGTTGACCCCTGCGATTATCCCTAATGTGGATAACTCGGACGCGTAATTTTTGGTAGTGGGGACTGCGTACGCGCCGTCCCCCCCTCTAATCCTAAATTCCAAACTATACAAATTGAAATAAAGACCTTTAAGATTAGTAATGTATGAAGTGAAGTATGTACCTACCTTTTACCACGACACACAAATTACACGAAATACTTAGTAATTTGCAGTTTGCACTTTATACAAAACTAGCGACACGCCCCGGCTTCGCAAGTGCAATGTTATACATATAAACATTCCTCTTGAATCAATCTAATAAAAGAACCGCATCAAGATCCGTTGCAAAGGTTTAAAGATATAAGGACAGTCAGACAGCAGGAAGACTTTGTTTTATACTATATAGTGAAGAGCCAAGCTTAATATAATTATAACTCTTTTCATTCAATAAAACGCGTTATAATTATTCGTATCCTAACATTAAATTTACATCTTCCAAAAAACATTTGGAAAAAAAAAAACATTATTTTCAATATTTATAAAACTGATCGAAAGCATATACTTTTGGTCAGTTTGTACTATGTTATGAAAAATCGTGGACTGTACATTCTACTACATCTTAATTCCCACGAATACGGTAATTCTCAGTTTTTTATGTGAAAGATGTCTTTTTTTCAAGTGTAGACTTATTCAATAATAATGTATGTACCTGATATGTAAATATGCTAAAGATATAGTTTTAAATTAAGTGAGCTATGGATATATTAACTGTTCCGCAGAGATATATGTGTCTTTTCTATCACTCACTTGAATAATTCACAACTCCAGCACATGTACATCTCACATATTTTTACAAAAAAGTTACACTTTCCGTCCAGAGTCTGTAGAAGGATCATCTCATACCATGACTGGTATGCTCATGTTTAAAAAAGCTACTTTAATAGATGTCAAATCAAATTGAATAAATTAATTCATTAATATTTACATTCCCGCAACGGCGAGAAAATTTCGTCCTTTTTCTACAAATTTTAATTAATAACATTAAACCATTTTACCAATAAATCAGTCTTTATTAAGAATAAAATAATCATATGCATGAGGAGTTTTTATAATCACACCACATTGCTTAAAGCAAGAATAATCCTTATGCAAAAGTAATAACACAGTTTCTGATGACTTTTCATTTTTTTTTAATCTACATATGTAAACTACCATTATATATTATATACTACAATTATATGTATTACATTACAACAATATCTCATACATAAAAACAACTGTCTACAGCTACATAGTTTCTTAAATTTTGTACTGATTAATGTGACTATTACATTTTACAATTTTATTATACTTTGTGCTTTTACTCCAAGATACCATGTTGCATGTGGAAATATCATTACTAACAGATATTCTTTATCAAATATTTGATTAATAGATACTACATATTATAGTTGACCATGTTTACATGTTAATTCTAAACTTTCTATTATTAAACTGTAATATGTAAACAAAATTCGGTTTTTTTTTTTATTGTTTTTAAACAAAAATTGTTCATTTTATCACAGGCCACTAATTTTCTTTCTTTTTTTGCAATATTTTAAGAACCTTTTCAAATCATTTTTCATCTAAGTTAGATAATAAAGTAATTAATACACTATCTAAATAAATCTACAATCTACCGAAATCTACTGAACCAATATAGGTAATAAATAATAAAATGTTTACTTATGCATTTTGTATGCAAATATGACTCCAACTACGACCAGAAGTAATGCCGATGCCTTGTATAACATATTACATAACACCTTATTCTGTCCTCCGACAGAATTTACTATTAAATTGTTCATTAAGAATACTTGGTTGCTTTCATCTATAAAAGCATCTTTTTCGTCCGCTGTCATCCTCTCAGCTATCTCATTTATTGCATTGCGGAATTCTTGCTTCAGTTGACAGAGGTCCACATCACCAAAATCAGTAACTTTGTCCACATAGATATCTTGGAGACCATTTCCTGTAAATTGAATAATAATATTCCATGAATGAAACAATTCATACACATTTCTAAGTTCGCAGATTTATACACATAATTATGCAAACTCTGCTTTGTTGGTAAAAAAAAAAAAAATTTAACATAACTAAAATAATAATGTTAATATTTTTATTAGATCAATGATATAGATTATCATTTATGTGGTAGAAAATGTTTATATTATCAACGAAATAACATATACATGTAATATGTTTAGTTAATTAAAAATGTTTTCTCATAAATCAAATCCACATCAAATAATTAACAAAACCATAAGAAATACTGTAAAATATCAAACTAAGGTAATATATAGATTTTATGGAAACATTTTATGGACCTCTACAAATATGCTATCATCAAGACAAGCTTAAATTATAGTTTAATAAATAGTCATTTTTGAAAGTGAATATAATGTAAACAAAGAAACATACTTTCACCAAACATTTTTCTTTTTTTTGCAAGTATCTGCCCACCGCTAAGAAGTCCTAAATACAAGTGGTATACATATACCAATAGCAACATTGGCTGCTCCTTTTCAATGTTCTGCAAATGTTCAAGGTAATTTTCTAAGGCTGGTGACTTCGCTGTTGATTGCCAATTCTCACCTAGGTAATGCGTTAGATCCTCTTCAAATGCCTGCTTCCTGAAAATGCAGCAATGCCTTCATGTTAATAAACTCCAAAATTATCCTGTATGCGCAAAATTCTAAACAATTATTATATAAATGAAAAAAATAATTGGCATAAAAAGTTATACCAACCTATACAGAATTTTGTTTACAAAAAGCTTATTCAAATCAGGGATATTAAGTCTTCCTTTTGCGTCTTCAAGGAAAGAAAAGATGTGATAGAATACAAATAAACCGCCACCCCAAACCTCTTCATCTCTGAGAGCTGGAAAATCAAAGGAAAATATAATGACTATTTAAAGTAAAAGTTAATAGAATTTTGTTTATTTTTATTTATTTCAAAATTCTCACAGTATACACCATAAAAAGTTTAATTATCACGAATTATAGTTTACGAAAATTGCACCAGAACCTTTGATTAAACAGTTCAAATATAAATTTAACAGCCTTAGAAGTAACAAGAGACTAAAGAAACTAGAGATGAGTAGTTATTAAACTTAATATCACTATTTTATTATACATTTGTAATTATTTTTCAATTTTTACTTAACTTACAAATGGCAAATTTTGCATTGACCAACGCATCGCTCACGGAATGAATCTTTCGAGTCGCCTTTCTCATTCGAGTTGTAAACAGTTCATTATTTTCAGTCATTTTTATTTTCTAATTGTAATTACTACGACTTCAGAATTCTATAACAATGCACCCCATTAAACGTAGTAGTTATATTCTCTTTGCACCCCATGCCATGATAAATCGTTTTTTCAATTATTTGACAATGCTCGACAGATAATCTAAACTCCACAAAGTGAGGTCAAAATAACACCACAGCATCAGCAATAACATAAGCAGAATCAAATGAATCAAATGTATTAAAAAATTCATCATCATTACATAATGCACAACATGTGAATCATATGGTAAGCGGTTATGGCTATGATATTTACAACCAACCGCCTGCCTGACGTCAATGCTCCTTGGGAAACAAACACCCAGATTCGGAACAGTTATCTGGGTCACACAAATACTTGTCCCGTGTGGGAATCGAACTCACAACCCTCAACCGAAGCCGAATAGCTTAGCAATGGTGCCACCGAGTCAATAATTTTTAAATGTATTAAAATATATTATTCTGTGCGCCGTACAGTGGCATTGATAGCTTCATCGGAATACATCCGCATTGATCTGCATCTGTGAGTAGACAGTCCAGAGACCAGACACTCGGGAGTTAGGACACAAAGAAGCTGGAGCATGAAGATGATACCGAAACGATTACAAGGTCCATTTCATTGTATCTCTACTACCCCTCTTGACGAAAGATGGATAATTCGAATTAAGACACAATCCAGGAATCCTTAGATGGAGGTTCGTACCTCGGCATGAACTTTAATGGACCTATGAAGATTTAAATGTGGTAAGGACACGCAGCTTCAATTTTTGCATGAATAAGCAGGCTCGTCCGGGAAAGTACCACGGCCTTACAGAAGTCCGGGGTGAATTGGAAGTATGACTCTTGCGTTTCTTCTGGTATGTAAGGTAGGATTGCCCACTTATTTTAAAGGTTGTCAACGCATCTCCACGCCCTCTAGTGTTTTCTTATCTGCATGGATGGTGGTAAATACTTAATATCAGGTAAACCGTCTGTACCCTTGACTTTTTTACACATAAAGAAACTCATGCAAATCCAGTCGAGACTGTAATATTACGCTCGAAACTATCGCTCCACCAAAGTTAATTTAAGGAAACAGTTATTAATAATAATGAAAATTGGAAGTATTTACATAAACATAACACTTTTATGCTAATATAGTTTACTGTTTGTGCCCAGTAGTAAGAATAGCTTCGTCGGAAGAGTTCTGCAGACAGACAGCTCAGGAGAACAAGGGAGCGGGTGCAAGACGATAAAGCCATCCGCTCCTCAAATCTGCAACTCCAGTTAGCGGATAGTTGACAGTATTTGTTAGTCACAAGGCACGACACGATCAAAGGATCTGTCGGACAGGACAGTAGTTTGAACATCGGTCTCGAACGCTATTTATAGTCGAACCAATCCAACGGAGATAATAAGGTTGAAATTGCCGTTTTGTGGAAGTGTTTAATTGTGTCCCAAGCGATATCGAGAGCTGCTTGAAGGCGCTTTCTTGAAGGGCGCGATATTCTAATTCTGTGCCAATGAGTACGTGAAGTTGATTTTGTTTGCGAAGTCGCATTCGATAGAGATATGGACTTATACAACGACATGTCTAAACTCAATTAATGAATAATTATAATTATTTGTAAAAACTATGTGCATAAAGATGCGATGACATGCGTCATTAGTATTAAAAATATTGAATGCAAAAATTAAACACAAAATTTAACACCAAAGATCTCGAACACCTCTCTGCAGAGGTGCCTAGTCTACCACTTGATCGACCCCACTGCGAATTGGCGAACTTCATTTAATATCTTCAAAATATAATATATGTATATTACATTTTTTTCAAAATTATGAAATCAATTACTCAATATTCATTTTGATTCCAAAACATGTAATATATTTTTATTCATAATCTCATTATACATTTTTTTAATTCACATTGATTTTATGTACTTACAAACTAATCAAATTAACCCAACGTGTGATTACATGGGTGGATGTGGATTAATGTTTGGTATTAATAACGAGGAGTTGCTGCACAGTATTTTAATTTTATTTTATCTATTCCGATCCGTCTTGTAACTTGCACAGTGACAAAGATACTTGTAATTTAGTGAAGCCTTTGATTGTAAATTTATATATGAAGTGATCTGTATTTGTTGTTATTATATCTTACAAGTTTTCTGCATTTAACTGTTTTAATTAGTCATTATTTAGATTTTATAGGTTGTATTAATAATATACATCTACTCCAATGGGGGACTTAAAGAAAACGAAGGTAACAGATTGTTGTGTGTTTATTTTCATTTTTGCTTTATATTTTTAGTTAATATAAGAAAATAAATTATTTCTTTAGTGCTATGTTGGTTTTTGAAATGTTCAATTTTATAGAGATTTTTCGCGTCACGCACATAAAAAGTTGCTCAATTGGCTTGTTTACCAAGTGATAAGCGGTATCATTTTGACATTTTATTAAACGTTATCTAACGTCGGTAATCATCGAGACAAGATTAAGACAAAGCCATGGCATATGACTTACAAAAAGAAGAGGATACTAAGATATACGTTGAGAACTTAGGAATCGAGTATCGCTTCGGATGTTACCAAGAGAAGAAGCCAGAAGTATGTCAACTTTTAGGCGACTATTTAGAAGCCATAAAAAAGGATTATAAGAAAGCAGTTACCGTGTACAGAACTAATTGTCTCGATTACAACTATGGTAAGTCATGCCTAAAAGTTGGAAACTACGCCTTCTTGGGGCGTGGAAGGGACAAACCCGATGTCACAGAAGCATTGCAATACTTTGAAAAAGGATGTGAACTTAACGATCCAGTATCCTGTTTACATGCTGGTGTACTTCTTACTGCTACCAGCCCTGGAGTCACTGTACCAAGGGATATTCCCAAAGGTAAGAGTTTACCAATACCTTTTTAGCTCATAACCTAAAATATGTATGATTGTATATAGATAAGTATGATTTTCTTTCATTCATGTCTTCTCAAATCATCATCATCATCATCATCATCATCATCATCATCATCATCATCATCATCCTCCTGCCCTTATCCCACCTAGGTAGGGTCGGCACAACTTGCGAATCATGTAGGCGGTTTTGGATATATTTTTTACAACCGGCCACCTGCCTGACATCAACCCCCTTGGGTAACAAACACCCAGATCCCGAAAAATTATCTGTGGGTCACAAGACTACTTATCTCGTGTGAGAATCGAACTCTCGATCCCCGATGATAGCTTAGGAATGTTGCCACCGATTCCACTCACATCTTAAATAATTATTCAAATAAACTCAATGAATAATAAGTTACTAAAATGTGCTTTGATTTTACTTAGTGATATTTTTTGAATTGAGTTTTTTCTAAACGGCTTTCTTTAATAGAACCTTATAGTTTTGCCTATTATGAAAGTATTATAATAGGTGCTATAATATAATCTTTAGAATAACAATCCCGTCAAAATTGCACTATATTGCTGTCAAAAATGAACTAACATTTGAAATTTTTTTTTACATTATTATTTAAAAACTTAAAGCAAGCATTGGTGTCACATTTTAATACATTATCAGATGGAACTTTATAAATAAATTAATGGACCCAACAGACGTACTGTAAACATGACTGAAATCCGAAAACAACATATAAAATTTTTTTTAATAAATGTGGACCAAATTGTAAATCTAAATCATTCTGAAGAACACACAAAATTTCATGACCTGAAGACACACTCAAAATTTTATAAAAATCGGTCCAGCTGTTTATATAAAAAGTTCAGTGACATACACATAATTATATAAAAATGTATTATCTTTATTTTTCTCTTTTGAGATAATAATTAATAGTAAATAACGGGCCAAGTATATAAAAGCTGGCTTAGGAGACCAAGAAGACTCAAACAATGATTTCTAAAATATGAAAAGCATAGTGTAAAGTTTTATTTAGATGTAAAATATATACATGAAAATAAGAAATAATAAATAAGGCTCATTATATTAGTATATTATATTATATAAATATTTTAGGACACATTTTTTACATAACAATCTCTAGTCCCAAATTAAGCAATGTTTGTACTATGGGTATTAGATAACTGTACATAAATATACTTTTCTTTTGTAAATAAATACATATTGTACAATATATATAAACACCCAGATACAAGAAAAACACTATGTTCATCACAAAATATTTTCCAGTAGTGGGGATCGAACCCACACCCTCTGACACAGGAGGCAGGTACACTACCCGCTATGCCATCCCGGTCGTTATATATTTGACCAAACTACAAAAAGAGGAGAGGTTCAAGTTTTTTCAAGTACCTGAATGCACCTTATAAGTTAACTTGAACAATCTCTATTTACATATCTTAGTATGGTGTGTTTGACGTTTATTAACACTCCTACATAGGTAATTCTATTTTTACTAGACAGAATATTTATGATTTTAGGTTACAACTACTTGAAGAAAGGTTGTGACCTGAATGATGATATGGCCTGTAACTACCTCTCGGGCATGTATCTCGTTGGAGTACCTAGAAATGTAGCAGACTTCAATCCCCATAATCCTGAGAAGAATAAAAACATAGACTATTTAATCAAGCCAGACTTCCGCCAAGCATTTCAGCTTGCATGCAAGGCATGCGATCTAGGCAATATGTATGCATGTGCCAATGTTAGTTTGATGTATAAGAAAGGTGATGGCGTTGAGAAGGACTTGGAGAAGTCGAAGAAGTTTTTTGAACTGGCACAGAACCTTAAGAAGGCACATGAAACTGCCAAACATGTCAAATTCCAACAAGGCCTGGAAAATAATTAATGACATTTATGTATTAGCTTGCTTTTTGTGGTGAATAAACATTTGTGGGTATGTCCCACTAATGTTTGTAGATGTGATTGTTATTTGTGAAGGCAAAATAAAAAAATGTTTAAAGTTTTACAAATATTTTCTTTTTATTATTTCAAGTAACTTAATCCTCTTATTAAAAGTTGTACTTCACATGTTAAATTCTCATAAAGTTTCATGGCAATATAAAATTATAGAAACATAGTTGAGGTTTTGTTTAAATTTGCTTTAGTTTGCAAGGGAATGGCTGAGTAGGCAGTCCAAATGGTAACTTAATTATACTGCAAATATGAGTGAGATGTTGTGTTTGTATTTTATGTGGAAGGATTTGTGTAGGAAGTCCCAACAACTGCTGTGACTGTCTTCCCTTCGAAAATCATTGCACCCTTACTGTAGGATAACATCAGTGGCGCAGATGCAAATTGGCATCTGCGCCACGGAGTCATTAGTGTGAAATTTTACCCGTTCCATCAACAAAATATCGATCTATGGGCTTGATAATACCGGTCACAAATGCGAATTTTGAAATGTATAAATGAGAAATGTATTTGTAAATGTTATTGATTTAGGTAGGGCAACGCGACAGTTATCGCTGTTGAATGGACATGTCCGTGCGGGGAAATACCACGTCCTTTCAGAAGACCGGCGTTAAATAGAAGCTTCTCGCTTGCTACCGTGTCACATAAAAAATAAGAGTATGGATTTTTCGCAAATAATTTGAACTCTCTACATTGTGCTCGAAAATCTTACGTCCTAGCAGCCGCCAGAGATAATGTTCATGTAATAACAACGTTTTAAGCCTAACCTCCAACAAGAATGTCAGCTTGCATATAAGGCGAACTTGGCAATATCTATGCATGTGACAATCTAATTTATTTATTATATGGGCAAAAATTAAATATTACATGCACAAAAGAGGCGATAGTGTTGAGAAGGACATGGAGAAATCGAAGAAATATTTCGAACTGGCTCAAAATATGCGACAAATATCAAGTGCCAACGAGCCCTGGAAAATAATTTATGTAATTTATGTACTACAAACTGTTAAGTTGGGATTATTATATAGCAAAAAAATAATTCAACAGTTTTGCTCTTTGCTTTGATCTTGTATACAAATAATTCGAAAGACATTTTGGAATTTTGGATGGCTTAAATAATAATCCAAATTGTGCATGACAACTCGATAGATGTCCCTGCAACTACGATGTCACAACTTTCGAGGTCTAGAGTATAACATATAGCTTTTAAATAGTAAAGTAAAGGCTTACACGCTCCACTGCTGAGCATAGGGTTTATTTTTCTTTGTACAAAGGGCAGTAAATAGGTTGGGGCATCCACCAAGCGAACCCACTGCAGATAGGCAGACAACTTGAGATAATCTATTTCGGGCTTTTATTTTTATTAAATTTGTTATTTAAATGTTATAAGCTGTTGATTACTTGAATATCAATAAAGAAATACATACGTATGGTTCTCTGATTCATGTTATCGTAGAGGACGTGTTAAATCAGCAATTAGTTAAAATCGCAATATTAAATCAAAAACAAATGACCGACTTTGAACTAGCACGGTTTAATGTTTCTGTTTATTTTTTTTTTGGACACAGTCTGTAGCTCTAAATTCATCGGACTTTTAAGATTACCGCCGCTGGTTACCTCAATCACAAGAGGCAAAGTTAAAGTATTGTACGTCAACTTCGCGCCAATCTTGTGAGGCCGTGTACTTCCCCGGAGTAATTTCTTCTTAATTCTATTCCTTCTCCACACTCTGCGAAGGTTGTGTCTCATGAGTCTGTCATTACTACTTTTATACTAGACCAGACTAGACCTCGTCAGTATATCTTCGCGGATTTCTGCCAAATGGTCATTTTGAACGACCACTAAAACAATTTCAGATCGGCATAATTGGCGGCTCTGGGTTCGACGACCCCGCGCTTTTTAAGAACCCTGAAGATCTGGACGTGACCACTCCTTTCGGGAAGCCCTCTGACGTGCTACGCCAAGGTCAGATAAAGGGCGTGCCCTGCGTACTTCTCGCTAGGCACGGGAGGAAACATCAGTACCAGCCCAGGTAATAATACCATTGCGCAAATACGTTACTAAAGGCGTGTGTATGGGAATAGTTTTTAACAAAAAAAAAAACTACTTTAAACAGAAAACTAAAAAGGAAAAAAAATACTTATCGCAATTAATTCGTATTTTGATTCAGTTAATCAGAAATGATTAAGTAATTATTTTATGATTTTGAAGTCGGTGCCAGGTAAATACTACAACAACTTTCCATTTATAAAAAAATATGTACGGTCGAATTGAGGAAGCTCCTCATTCAAAATACTCGAGCAATATGAGATCTATACCTGGTGCCAACACCAATGTAATTATAATTTTTTTTAAGTTTTTTATAGTGCTAATCTCTGCAATTAAGATTGAATTGTGGCAATCAGCCGTTTAGCTCAGTGGCTAGAGCGTCAGGCCGCGAATGCCGAAGACGTGGGTTCGATTCCCACAGCGGCGACAATATTTTCGTACTTTTTCTACATGTTTTAATGTTCAATCTTAAGTGCAGAGATTAGCACTATAAATAACTTTAAAAAATTATAAAAAAGCAATGGCGACATCTCTCGTTCGAATTATCGTTGTAAAACGATATTCGAAATTGTTTGTATGCTGGAAAGGATATAACAATAAATGCGCCTGCTTCAAATGCTAAATAACAATTTAGAAGGAAGGCGTTAAGATTTTCGTCGCTGTGGCTATCAGCCGTTTAGCTCAGTGGCTAGAGCGGCAGGCCGCGAATGCCGAAGACGTGGGTTCGATTCCCACAGCGGCGACAATATTTTCGTACTTTTTCTACATGTACCAATGTAATTGTTAATTTTACGTGCTGACTTATCACGCTCTCCGCAGTGAAAGAAAACATTTACATCAAAAAGATAGTGCAACGGAATATTTTCGAAATAATAACAAAATAAAAATATTTTTGAAGATATGTGAAGTCCGCCATTCCGCATTGGGGCCGCTTGGTCAACTACTCCCCGATACCCTCTGTACAGAGGAGGCCTTTGACCAGCAGTGGGACAAGTAGGCTGATACTTTACTTTTTTTTATAGTGACGTTAACTACCGCGCCAACATCTGGGCGTTGAAAGAGGTTGGCTGCACTCACGTACTGGCCACAACTGCGACCGGTTCCCTAATAGAGGAGTACAAACCGGGCGATCTGGTTGTCTTGGACGATTTCATTGACAGGTGTAGTTAATTTCGTTTTTTTTATGAGAGAAGATGGCAAGCGAGCTGGTGTTTCACCTGATGTTAAGTGATAACCGCCGCTCATTTACATTTGTAACACCTGTAGGGTTGCTGTGGCGATGTCGTCTTTTCATAAAGTGGGCGCCGGCTACCTCACTCGCCAGACGAAACGCAGAACTGTAACACTTCCGCTTCACGGCAGTCTTCTGTGAGATCGTGGTACTTCCCCGAACGGACCTGCCCATACGTGCAACAGCGTAGACTGTTGCCGGCTCTACCACAGTTAAAAATATAAGCAATTTAAAATACCTATAATAAACGACATTAAAACCTTTACTAACATTTAAAATACCTATAATATACGACGTTAAAACCTTTACTAACATATTTTACGCGATGGACCACCATAACCAAACGACTGCCTGTGAAAATTTGGAATGCATTCCGTTTTTGAACAAGTTGTGTATTATAACCATTGTACCATACGGAACTGATATAACTCATAAAATGTAATGTTTGTGTTATGTTTAAACGAAAATTTATTATTTTCATGGAAATAATAATAAATCAAGTTTACAACTTTCTCAATTCACCTAAATCCGCTCCATCGTTCCGTATCCATGGCATAGTCAAAATATCTGTATTTAATATAGGCTTAACTTAGCTCTTATTGAACGAAAAAAAAAAAACTCCCACCTCTTCACTAAACTAGACCTGAACAGAGAAGAACCGGCAAGAAACTCTGCGGTCTTGTTCTCTTTTTTGTGTTTATTAATAATACAAACATATTCACCTTATTAAGGCAAATCTTGTAAAAAAACCAGTGTTAGTAAAAAAATTACGAAACATCTTTACCGTTATATGCACTATGCACGAGTATGTACAGCTAAGCAATGACCGTCCCCGCCGCTCAGGACTTGGGGCCGCAACTCAACGTTCTACGACCGCACCCCTGGCGGGCCGAAGGGCGTGTGCCACCTGCCGATGCGGCCCGCCTTCTGCGAGCGCTCCAGACGGGCGCTGTACGAGGCCGCTTTGTCCAGGGGCTACAGCTGCCACGACAGGGGAACGGCCGTCGTGATACAGGGGCCCAGGTGAGTTCCCTGCCACGGGAAGGTGAAAGAACCTTCGTCAGGGTCCAAAACCGCCGTTCCGCGTGACATTTATGCATGCAAAACGCCCTTACGACACGGGATAATGTAATCCTACGAAGGGAAGGCTATAATAGATCAGATCGGGATCTTTTTAAATTATGACATGATTCACGTGTTGTGTCGACCCCGCATAGGTGGTATAAGGGCGGGAAGACGATGATGATTACGAGCGTCTTTTAATAAGTAATAATTAAACTAGCCACCACTAACGAAATCGATGATGACGTCATTATACATACACATACATATCAAGTGGTGGATGTTTAATTTAATCACGGTCCATGAAAGTGAAAGTTTCCACACTCGTCTTCCACAGGTTTTCCAGCCACGCCGAAAGCCTAATGCATCGCCAGTGGGGCGGGCATCTCGTCAACATGACCACTGTTCCAGAGGTATTTCCTCCTTCGCTTTGGTTATTTTTGCCGTTAAAAGCGGCCGCTTTTAACGTATAAAACTCACAGGACGAAAACAAAGAAATTTTGGGTGAGGATTAACCAAGAGAATGTTCAGGGAGAAAGATAGAAAACCTATGAGGTGATTTGACAAAAATCATTTTCATGGTCCTTAATTTCAGAATTAAAACTGGATTATGCTTTATACCGGTATTTAAAGATAATATTCTAAACATTTTGAGATTCTTTGTAGGTACTAAATACACGTGATTTTGGGTGTGTGTGTGGGGGGGCCGGGTTAGACTTAAACCTAACCATATAGCACCAAGGGGGGAGGAGGGGGTTAAAATGCTAAAAAAACATCATGTAATTAATGGACGGCTCCTATCCAATAAGGACGCGAAATGTTTGTCATTTAATTTTAGGTGGTTCTGGCGAAGGAGGCAGGCCTTAGCTATGCAGCAGTCGCACTAGTCACGGACTACGATTGCTGGAAGGAAAACGAGAAGTCGGTGAGTTCACAGTGCAGACATCATTTAATTCAATATCGAAGGAAAGCAAAATCATTTCCGTTATTTGGTTTTACTTGAACGCGATTGGTTCTTTATATAACGAGATCCAAGGGGTCAAACTATTACTATTGAATTTCCTATGATGATTGAAAAGTAAACAAACAGTTCTATATAAATAAAGAGAACATTCTACAGTAACAGGATTAAAAAAAAAAGGCCTCTATTTCATATTTTCTTGATCAGTTACTGTGTACAATTTTCCTTAATTTTTTTCACCTGTATGTATGTATTAAATCACACCATATACATGCGATATTACATTGAAGTCGCAAAACTTTATTCGCAGGTGTCGGTAAGCGAAGTGCTTGCTATGTTCGCCCAGAATGTGAAGAAGGCCGCAGACGTCATATTGGACGCTGTACAGATATTGGCGGCTGACATCGATCTAGATTATTTGAGCGCCCACGAGGTACGAAATCAATCAATTGTTTCAGTTTTTTTTTGTTTCTCCGTGTCTATTTTACTAAAGCCGTAACGACTCCAGTTATTAGGGGGTAAAAAAAAGCATCGATATTTGTCTGGGAAGAAAGAGGCCTTTATCTTTCCTGTACAATGTATAATAATCAAAAATTCCCGATATCGTCTAATTGTACACCCATGATGAATGTTTGGCCTATAGTAAAAAAAATTTAAACTGTATACAGCGTGTCGTTACCATCGCGACAATAAATGAACACACGTCTAACGCTACTTGCCAATAATCATAAAAAAATATTAACGTTAAACAAAATCCATAATTAAAAAAAAAAATATTTTTCAAACAAACTAATTAAGGAAAAAAGAAACAAAATTTGTAACATCCTATACAACTCGCGCCACAGCGTCGTATTACAAGCCTCTCCTTCTAACAGTATGTTTTGTCTCCTTTAAATTCATTCATCTCATTCATATGCTTTGTGAACTTTACAAATGAACTTTACGTTACGCTTTTATAGGTAACCGTGTTCTAAAATTCTTTGTTTTGGAAAATTTAATAACTCTGTAAATATTAATGTTTAAAGAATTTAAATGTTTAATACAACTTTAAAAAGTCATCCCCTATATGTGTGTTCATTTATTGTCGCGATGGTAACGACACGCTGTATAATTTCTAAACTGATTTTCTAACTTTTCTTTGTATATGAGATGTATGTATATTTCGTTGTATATGAGCTATGTTATAATTATTTACTAAATACTAGTCTTAATCTTAAGGTCGCAAATATATTTAAGAGTTCTTTGTAAATGTACAAAAAATATTGTGTTTTCTATTTCTACTATAAATTATTTCTACTATTAATTCTACTATGATTATAAAAAATATGCTAAAGTTATCAGCTTACTTTGAGCTAATTCATGGTAATTTTTAAATGGTATTGTGATTGTCTATGGGTGAACAGATATACATATGAAAAATTATCAGTGCTTGATCAATTTGAAATTACATAAAACCAGCGAGATATTTTTAAGGATCTTACATTTTCTGTTTTCAGGATTTGGTGTCTTCGGCGGTCATGCTGAAGGAGTAAATTAATATGAAAGAAATCCATCATTAGTTTTAAGGGAAACTGTTCTTTTTATTGTGTCATATTAATAAAATAAAATGCAATCTCAAGTAATAATAGCAATTTAATAATAACCTTATAATCGAAATACAAAATGATCAAATCACACTACTGTAAAACTCTGACACAATTTTATTCTTTATTTATTACTTATTAGCAATATTAACTCTTACCCTATCCACTTTTACGTATTTAATGTTGTGCAATATATATACTTTAATTTAGCAACATTCTAGCAATTTCTAAATTGTGATTCCATTATTCCATTACATAGATTCGTAATTTTATTGATTATATTACATTCAACAACAATACTGCTATTTTCCAAATAAAAATACATTACAAAAAATAATGAATAAACATGATTAAAAAAATAGATATGTCTTTTCACTGTTGAAGAAGTAAAACAAAAGAATTCACATGGGATCCTAGAGAACATTTGGCAATAGTTTATTAGCTACAAATATGATACAAACACAAATTATAATGTAAAACTTAATATAATATATTAAATGAGGGTAGAATAGGTTACATACTACATAACTTTAATGTTTAAATAAATTATGTTTTATGTTATAAGATGTATAAACCTATGGCTCAGGTCAGCGCTTGTTGTCAAACTATAGTTGAATGGTTGAAATCATTTACCAGAGCTCAACTGCACCAAAGTAATTACTTTCCCGTATTCCAAAGCAATAATCTATTTTAGTGTCACAATTGGCAGAAAATTAAAGAACATAATGCCCAAGTCAAAATATTAAAGATACACTCACAAATCCGACTATGGGATTGTTCAACTCAAATTACCTCTATAATTGACATAAATTTTGCTGCAATGATTAATATATCTATGTTTTACTGTAAAACATTTGCCATAATTTGAGTGCCTCAGTTTAGGTGTGACAATATCATATCTACCTCGTATTTGTATATAATATCATTGAAAATCATTCATGATCTGTGGTATACGTTATCTTATTAACTTCAAATGGACTACAGATGCCATATAAGTAAGTTGTATGTGAAGAAAATATCTTTTTCTAAATCGTGATTTAGGGTTATCTTGTTTGGAGTGCATGCGGAGATTTGGCTTTTAAGCGATCATAAGGTGTAACAGATTTTGTAATAAAGGGTATATTGTCATCATTAACATCTCCATGCTTAGTTTCAATTAACTCGTATAAAGTTGTTCTCTATTTTCTTCCCTTACATAGAAATTGCTAGAACATCACCACTGTATGAAAAACCAAATAACTTTAAACTGTATTAACTACCTTCAATGCCTATCTAGCTTATTACTACGAACTCACAGCTTAATCTAATTCTTCAAAATGCTTCTTCGTCAATCTGACGTCTGCAATAGAAGATGCTCACTTTAGATATTAGAAAGACTCAATAGGATCAATTTCATAGCCTAGCGGGTTGTGAGGTGCGAGGTTTGATGCCCAAAGGGGAAGGATTTTGACTTTACTATACTACAAATTATCTTAGGTTATTGCTAGTTAAATTAATAAATACTAGATACTATACTATACTAATAATAATATAATATATATAATGGCGTAGGGAAGTGACGACCCGATCGCCCACCGACGTAACAGTTTTAGTGACAGAACTGTTACGTCGGCGCAATCAGTCAGTGCCTTGCCATGGGTGTGTGCACCGTGCCTCGGCAAAAGTGAGGGTGCATAGGCCTGTCTGTGCGTATGGCCATACTACTGAAAACGGTGCCGGTCTGAGGGCGTCTTTCGTTAAACGATGCCCTAAATATTGGATGATGGAACAAAGAAAAGGAATGCGCATAGGGCCGCTGCCTGGGGGCCGCCAGGGCGCGTCTGGAGCTGGTGCTGGACGTGGCAGCATGCGGGACGCCAGCCGAGCGCGGGGTACTGCACGACCACCAAACAGTACCTCGCATCCATCATCCCCACCAGTTGGCTTGGTGTCGGCAGGATCCTCTCTGATCCAGCAATCGGCACCCGCCGCTGGTGGAATACGCCGCTTGCGCTGGACGACTGATATGAATCGAAACGCAACGCGGGCGTATTTTAGGGAGAAAGGGAATGAAACTGGAGGGTTTGCGTATCGGGCAAGGATGCATCGCTTTTTTGCTGAGCTGGAGCCGTCTGTAACCGTCACCGAGCAAAGCCAATGAGCTGTGGAACGGGCCAAGGACCAGACCAGGCTGACACTGTTGCCTTCTGGCGCAGCCTGTGGTCAGAGCCCGTAGACCACAGTCAGAGCCCTTGGACGCAAGTCCTGGCGAGCCATTGCGCAGATATCACACCCATGGACCCCGTCGTCATAACACCCGACGACGTATCTGAGGCAGTCCGTAGAGCCCCGAACTGGAAAAGTCCGGGGCTTGACGGGCTGCATCACTACTGGCTGAAGGGGTTCGTGGTGTGTCATGCTGTGCTCGCCCGACAGTTCCAAGAAGCTCTCGATCAGAGGTCGCTCCCGAGCCTCTTTACTACTGGGGTCACTCATTTGGTTCCTAAAGATCACGTTACCACAGACCCGAGTAAGTACCGCCCCATTACGTGTCTACCCACCATCTATAAGACACTGACATCTATTCTGAGCATGAGAATCACCCGGCATATTAATATGAATCGGATTATGTCTCATGCTCGGTCGTGGAACCAAGGAACCGCTTCTCATCGACACGGTCATTGGCAAAATGGTTAAGCGCAACCGTCGGAACTTCTCCGCCGCCTGGATAGACTACAAAAAGGCACTCGACTCGGTGCCCCATACATGGCTAAAGAGGGTCCTCGAACTGTACAAAGTAGACTGTACAGTAAGAGACTTCCTCGGGCACTGTATGGGGCAATGGAGTACGATCCCTTGTCATCTAGGCGAGCGGATGACGGCTGTGGAATACCGGATAAGGGTACGAAGGGGTATTTTCCAGGGTGACTGTTTGAGTCCAATATGGTTTTGCCTCTCCCTGAATCCTCTCAGCGTGTTACTGGAGGGTTCGGGGGAAGGATTTCAGCTTCGGAGAGGAGGGACAAAACCCACCTTTTCTACATGGATGACCTCAAATTATTCGCCTCCAATCGCTCCCATTTGATGGAATTGCTTAAAGTCACTTGTGATTTCAGCAATTCAATCAAAATGGAGCTTGGGACGGATAAGTGTGCGGTCCTCCATGTCGAAAGGGGTAAGGTCGCTAACACGGAGGGCATAGATTTATCCTAACCCTCGGCCGTTTGGTCTCCCCTGCCGAGGGCTTCCGTCTGGTTGGGTCCTACTTATATATGTATTATATACAATATTTTTATCTATATGTTTATTTTTATCCATAATATTTATTTTATATATGCAATATATATCTATATTTTATTTTTATTTATAAACCCAACCAGACGAGAAAACAAATGAATATCCCCCCCATATAATATACTAATACTATACTATACTAATACAGTACTAGAAGAATGTCACTGTAGTAGAGCAAAGTAGCTTTTGCAACTTTATTGACTGTCTTTAACTGTAGTAGTAAGTCATCACTGTTGCACGAATGGTCAGGTCCGTCCGGGTAAATAGCACGACCTCACAGACAACCGGCGTGAGCTATAAGTGGTACGCTTCTGCGTGTATTAAAAGTTGGCAATGCATCTGCAACCCTACTGGTGTTGCAAATCTCAATGGGCAGCGGTTATCATTTAACATCAGTTGTACCGCCAAATCATTTGCCTTCTTCTCACAAAAAAGAAGCAGAGATGTACAAAAGTCAAACGGGAGACCAGAAAATAAAGTTATACTTTTGAGTTTCGTCTGTTGAGTAAGGTATCAAATTTATGACAATGCCAACAATATCAACTGTGAAGTTGTGGGTATTCATTTGACTTGCCATCAGTAGAACCCCTTACTTATTTGTCATCCATTTAGTGAAGTAGTATATGGTGACAAAGAGAGACAGATGGAAATATCCTTTCCCAAATCCTATATCCTTACCTAAAAAAAGTGATAAAGATTGACAGTCAGTTATATGGGGAAGATGTATCACCAAAGTTGTGACAAAGATAGACAATGTCCGTTTAAGATGAAGATTTTTACCCCAGCGGTGCTGAAGTTTAGTTCTTCGTCCAGGGGTTGCGTCCGTGTTGTCCCGGGATCATGTCGAGAAGGTACTGCCTCTGCGCTTCCGCCACGCGTTGCATCTCCGCCATCGCTGCGGTGTTGCCGCTGTTGCCGCTCTTCCCGGCTGAGGGGAGATATTAGCATAAGCAGATATGATGTTCGCATGATGGATGGAAATTTTATGCAAACATTGAATGACATAATGGGAGTGTATATACTAAATTATTGACGTAATATTGAGGTCATAATTTTAAAGCAATTATGCAACATAATGCAAGCATATGTGCATTAAAAAGAGTAATTGCAATTTGCTTGTGTGTATGGTGAGTAAAATAGCATGTGGCTTATCAATAAATACGCATCTCTATAATCAATCAATTATTTCTCAAATTTAACGGATGCATTTTGACTACTTTTATGGCGATATGAGCGAAGATAGTTTTAATTGAAGAAAGTTGAATGACTTTAATTTAAAGAGTTAATCTATCTAATTTGGATCAAACATTGATGACTTGCAATGATAAAATAATCGCATTTACTGTGAATCAATTCATGTTTATAATATTAAAAGGCACTGGAACACATTATTCTTTTAATAATCACAGCATTTTCTTTGATAAAAACACCAAGTATACTCTTAAAACAAATGGATGAGACTATGATAATTTAATGTTTATTGACATTCATATAGCGCAATGATACAAATGGAATCGCAGTATCGGGTCACAAAAGGCTGTCAAAAAAGCTTGCGAAAGGGTTAAGGCGATTATATTTATTTTGTCTTTAATTACCATTTTACTTTGTTCATAAATGATTACTTGATAACGATTTTTTTTGTAAATATAAACTTAGAGCTTATTGTGGTAACTTAAGACTCAATTTGTTATATGTATATTATTCATTTCGACCATGAGCGCTGTTTATTTTTTTGTAAAAAATATGCCACTGTTGTGAGTGTAAAAATAAGGCCACGGGAAGCGGTACCCATCCACCAACTGATAATTATCAACATTACACATTTAAAAGGGAACGAAAAGAAAAGAGAGAAACAATAATAAAGCATCGGCTGCAATACGTACAACGCTTACCTAGCGCGGAGGCCTGCGCCATTGCGAGCTGGTAGGTGTAAAGCAGCGGAGAGAACTGCATCATAGCGGCGGCGGCCGCTGCGGACATACCACCGCTTCCCGCAGCACCGCTAAGACCTGCCGGACAGCAATCACCACTGTTTACCACCTCCTGCCACAGTTGGCCAGCGCCTAAATAAATTAAAAAGCGACAGCCCATGTGTGTCCCACTGTGGGACAAAAGCCTACTCTGTACAGAGAGTTATTACGGCACAGTCCACCACCAGACCCCTTTGTGGCTCTGTACAGCTGATATAAGGACAAAGTCCACCTTGAGTCATCACTGAATAATGGCAGACTTCCATTTTCAAATATTGCTTCTATTTGTTATTATTTTGAAAACATTCAGCTTTCTGTGATAAATCAGCAGTTAAAGTTGCTACTAACAAGTTTATTAGTGCAGACACTGAGATTCGAAGTCAGGTTGCTTGAGTATATAGAATTAAAAGCAAGCACTGGGACACTTCTATCACGGCTGTCGTTTGCCACATAGTATTTCTTCCCTGTTTCATAGCAGAAAAATGATAGTTTATTGAAGAAAACCCCCAGAATTAATTTCTTCCACCAATCAATTAAGCAATGTGCACTCAGAGGGGGTTATTTTTTTTTTCCTGTTCGTCAATTTATTTATATCCTTCGTCCTTTGATGTGATGTTGCACCATGTTCCTTAATCGATCTCACGCCGCTAGAGAAGCCCTGAATGTGAACCCCAATCTCTACGAAGATGCCGAGATGCCAACCTCTGAGCAATTGGTGCTGAAGAGCTTGCATGGCTGCCGCGCTGTGCTGTTCGAACGCCATCTGCGCGGCCGCAGCTGCAGCCAATTGCTATGGAAGAAAAGACAAACTGTTACTTACATATTGACTAGGCTGCCAAATCAGCCAAAGATGATGTGCACAAAATATAAGGCACAGTGTGAAGGCATTCGTACATAAAGAAGGAAGCATACAATCATATTTAAAAGTAATAAGCTTTTACTAGGTTTTTTAAAGGAAAATATTTTTAAGATAGCAATCTGTTGAACACAAATCACATACAGAAAACTCATAATAATATTAACGTCGACAAAATTAAGTACAAACCGATTTCCTTTTGATGTTTTAGTGTATCATTTTAAGAACTCAGCAGGCTTTTTAAGAAAAACGCTAATTTAAAATACTATGTAACAACTAAACAAAAGAGACAGAAGATAATAATGGACCTTCATCAACTTTGGATAAAATATAAAAAACATATCATTCTTGAAATGAAGATTTTCATTGTTGAAAACTCTTTATAATTGCTAATTACCTGATGCTGCTTACTGGAGCTGCTTCCTTGACTGGCATTGCTCGACGATGATCCTAAGACAGAGAAAGGCATGTATATAAGTATATCAAAATACAGAAGTTAATAGAGTGGAAAAAATATTTGAACTCGCTTTAAATATCAAGGCATGAAAGGAAATTATTATTAGTTATACATATTAATTTTAGGAATTGAAAAGCTATAAGCAACTTAGAGAAGGAGGAGTATCGACATATTTCATAAGTTTTGTAAATTGATTGCTATTTATTATTATAACAGAAACTCAGATATTATTTCGACATAAAAAATTACCATGAGTAAGTAAAATTATAATAAAACATATATTCATAAAGATCCAGCTCTACTGATTTCTCCATCTTAAATTGAGTTTAATCTGTAATTTTACATAATATTAGTTTTCACATACCTTAAACTGATATAAACATACAAGTGTATATGAACACGCATCATTTTGACGAAGTAAGCCATAGTATTGTAATCAATTATGTCATTTTGTCTCTTGATTACAAGGCATACTAGGGGAAAATAGTTTTTTTTTAACAAGTAAATGAAATAAACCACCTTAGTAAAACGCAGTCACAACTTACATTATACTTTCAATGACATCAACAATATTTTTATAAGATTAGGATTTCCTTTAGTAAAATTTACTATTTTTGTGATTTTCAGTCTTACTGGCTCATAAATAAGAACTCAATCCACATAAAAACTAATTTAACGCAATAGCAACGCGTTGAATTATAAACATATATCTGAGTTAGGGACTATTGGAACTGAATGTAAAATTTAGTTTTCTAATTACATGGCTAGTTGGGATTAATAAGTATAAATTTAAAAAATTTAACATATTGGTGAAGCTTTGTTACCAAGTGAAATAGAGACAGTTTGGGGAGGGGGTTGAATAGTAAATAAATACCGATACATGCTTCTCCGTTACCTTTACCTTTCTTCGCTGGCACTTCTGTTTCTCGGGCTCTATCTGAGTGGTGGTTGCGGCTGATCGTTTCCCCAGTCCCGGCCAATGAGCGGTTGCTGTGAATAAGAATGATGAGCTTTATATAAGAGACGAGATAGATATCTGGTTAATTACTTTCCAGTATTTACTTTTACTACATAAACACTACCATCAACACATGGACATTTAACATCTTTGGAGGTGGAGATGTGTTGGCAACCTGTAAGAGGTAACCTTCCCACCACACAAAAGGCGAAAGTATAAGTGTAAAAGTTATGGTCTTAGAAACCTATTAGAAGGCTGTGGCGGTTTAGTGGTTGTCGGCTGAGGAGTGGCTGCTGCCGAAGGTGTTGACGGTGCCGGGGTTCGGGTCGAAGACCGCGATACAGACATCTGGAAAATATTTTTACAAAGACATGAATGAAGTGCGGCACGAACACATGTTCATTACTATATGTTAGAAACTGTACTTTCGCCAGTGTGTAATATTCACAGGCGTATAGTTAAAATACCTAAAGAAAGCAAGTATTTATGCACTTATTAAAATATGTACATGACAATACACGCACGAGAATGGCACACGTGTGATCATGGGAGCGTGTTCTCTTAGTAATTAATTAAATTTAACAAGTATAGATACGCTAGTGCGTGTATACGCGTACAGCTGCACATTCATATGGGGAGCCCCTAGTTATACAGACAAATGCGCGGCAGTGCATTCTTAAAAGTCGGCACGCGATCGGTTCATGTGTGCGTTATATTACCCCACCTGCAGGGAGCGATGGGCGTGCGGTCTGTGCGTGTGTGTGTGCGCGTGCTTGTGGGGGCGAGTGGCCTCTTAGTGGTTCATATGTGTGCGTACTATTGCCCTATCTGTAGGGCGCGAAGGAATTGCATCATGTGCGTGTTTGCATATGCGTACATGAGGCGGCGAGCGGCCCCTCAGTCGTTCACGTGTGTGCCTAACATGAGCGTACGTGCGTGATTCGGTGGGCGTGCCGCGTGCGCGTGTGCGGGCGCGTACGCTAGGTTGCGAGCGGCGTCTTAGTGGTTCACGAGTGATCGTGACATGAGCGTACCTGCGGGGTGCAGTGTGAGTGCGCGGCGTGCGGCGTGTGCGTGTGCGTGTATGCGGGCGCGTACGCGAGGTTGCGAGCAGCCTCTTCGTGGTTCACATGTGTATGTCACATGAGCGTACCTGCGTGGTGCGGTGTGCGTGCGGCGTATGCATGTGTGGGCGCGTACGCGAGGTGGCACGCTAGGCTTTATTGGTTCACACGTGTGCGTAACGTGACCGTACCTGTGGTGTGCGGTGGGCGTGCGTGGCGTGCGGCGTGTGCGTGTGTGCGGGCGCGGCGGCGTGTGCGGGCGGCGGGGCGGGCGGCGGGGAGGGCGCCGGCGCCGCCAGCCGCCGCTCGATCTCCTGCTCCTGCTGCAGCGCGCGCACGAACGCGGTCTTTAGTCGGGCGGTGTGCTCCGCCTGCGGATTGCGTACGCGTACAGGTTATAGTAATCGAATGCGACGGACAACTGCGCTCGATCCGATGCGACTGCAATCAAGTACATCCTTTAAAAAGATTGGCTGAGTGACTAACATCCTCGTATCATTTTGTCATTTGTGAAACTTCTCTACACCTTAGAATTATCCTAGCAATTAAGATAATCCTGCAAGTTTAGATGGATTAATTTATAATCTTTTTAATTGTCATCGGTATACAAACTAAATACTGTAAATTTTAATGGGCTTGGCATTGTGGTTTTTCAATTTGCCTTTTTGGACTTGAACATACTGATTTAAGTTAGTAGTAGTAGAAGACTTTAGTATAGCATCAACTGAATAACCCATGAGCTGACAATTCTACAAAAGAGCGTAGACCTTAAGCGCCCGCTTCACGTTGCCGGATACGCAGAGCTCGCAGAGGCGGCGAGCTGAAGGCGCGCAGCTGAATGTGGCGTCCTGGCGGCGGGGCGGCGCCCGCTCCCAGCGCCACACCGCCGTGAAGTCGCAGCCGCACTGCGCGCAAACGGCGGGCACGCTCGAGCGCGGCATTCTGTCGGAGCGTGAGAAAACGTTCACGTCCATATATATGCTTAGATCTTTAAAACTATGCAACGAATCTCGATGCGGTTTTTTTTACTAGATATAGAATGTATATTACATTGGACCACCGGGGCGGGTCATATAATGGTTCCCTATAATGTCTATTGGTACTAGCGAGAAACGCCGGCTTCGTGAGGGGGAACTGAGGCTACTAGACTTAGTAGATGGGTGAATTTTTTTCAAATTTTTTGTCTTCACCTATTTTAAGTACTGATTAAGTGTTTACTCTAACTTTAAAATAGCTACGCCCGAGTATTGCTCTCCTATTCCCGCAGCGGTCTACGTCACTTCCTGTCTCGCTTCCATAACCCATTTGTGTCTTTAGTCTTTGTATTTTGTCGCGAATAAAGCTGATATACAGTTTAGTGAACATAGAATTTTTAAATATTCGGTAGTTTTGTAAAGATTTTTGCACTTGACGGTAGATACTTAACTGCTGGCTTAACCTGTCATAGATAAAGCCAGGAAAGATTTTACGTATTTAACTTTTGGGCGGATACATTTCATTAAGAGCGAACACGAATAGTATGGGAGAAAGGTGTTGATATGGTTTACTACTAAATAAGAAGGTTGATCGCTGGAAATTTTTCACACAGAGCTGTGATCAGTCACCGAATAGTTATATAGCAATGTATAAATAAATATTTATTTTTACATTGAAAGGTGTCTTATTTTGAAGATTTTTGGTTTACGTTTTTTGGTTGACGTTTTTTGGTCTACTTTGCTATCATTCATTTATACATTATTTATGAAAAGTTTTTAAACAAAAGTTTTTTTATGGAAACCATAACTTTAATATGCTTGTCCATTCTTCTTCAATAGCGGCGAAAATTTCGGTTCGACATGTCATAGAATAGAGAACGTACCGCTCTTCATTGGTGAGGTAGTCGACGACGTGCTCTAGTCCCACTAGGTATACGAAGTCTGTGTTGCTCGGCGACGGTATGAAGTTCATCTCCGGCGGTGGGGGTTTCGGAGGTGGGATCTGTTGACGGAAAGTGATATAATATCAGACACATGGTAGTGAAGTGTAACTTCTAATGCGACTTCCAACAAGGTTGCGTTAAACGTTTAACGTTACCATGGAGGAGGTATGAAAGCACTGTTGCGTTTAACGTTCAACGCTTCTGGGGAGGGGGTATAGAAAGAGACAGAGCGAGAGTGAATGTGTGGCACTCGAAGTTTCGCTTCTTCCGCTCGGAGGGACACCACGCACTATTATTATGTTTTTGTTTTTTGTCTCTTTCATTTGAAATTTATTAAAAAATGTATTTAGTAAAACGTGTTTGTAGATGAAGGCCGCCGTGTTTAAATTTGTAGAATTTTTCTCTAAGTTGTAGTGTATTAGTTACATTACTTCTGAATATAAACTCGCGATTCATTCACAAATAGTTGGTCAAAAAGTATGTAAAAGTAATGAGATAATAAATATTTTAAGTCTGCCTAGAGATGCTGATGACAGAAAACAGTACATAGAGTACTCGGCGTTAAAATACCGCATCGACCGTTGCATTGAGAAAATCGGCTTAAAAATGTAGGACGCAAAAACATTCTCATCATCCGCCTGCCCTTATCCCACCTAAGTGGGGTTTTTTAAGCGCAAAGGGTTGATGTCAGGCGGCCTGCCTCCTTCGTAAAGGTAGTAGTGGCACGCATTTTTTAATTGTTATAAAAACACAGTTGCTATATTGGGAACTCTAGCTAACGGTGCGACTAGGGTTGTCAACATTTTCCAATTGCTATAAAAAAAAAACAGTTGATATTGGCAGCCCTAGCTAACGGCGACTAGGGTTGCCAAAATTTTATAATTTTTGTGAACTACACCGACCTGTAGGAGTGTCTTCTCCAGTTGCTTCCGCAGCGCCAGTTTTGCTGCGGCCTGCCTCTGGGCGGGGGTTTGTGTATCCTCGGAGCTGCGCGTACTAGCCTGATGGTGACAAAAGAGAATATATAAAGATCTCGTCAGAGAAGACTGATACTTTGGCGGAACTTTTGGCATACTTTGTCATATTGTAAATGTTTCACGGGACGCTTATGAATTTAAACAAGTCGTTACATTGGTCGATGTGCGTTTGTCAAGATGGAGAAATATCGTTTCATCGCATGAATACAAAAAAAATCATTAGTCGAACAAAATAAATTACAATTAAATTACTTGAAATTATAGGTAAATCGTAAGTCGTTATAGATTGTTTACCATAAAGTTTATCGCTTTGTCACCAACTTCATCATGTCGCTTTTCGGTATCGTAAAAATTTTGCTCTCATAATTTTACCAATGGTACCAAAATAGATGTCAGCGGTTTTAGTGTACAGTACAGTGGCAAGTTCGTAGGTACTAGCCCACGAGTTCTGAGTTCGATGAAATTTTAATAGCTTACGGACTCAAAAGACCGTAAGTTAATCGTAAAGTTCTGGAAGGTTATGATTTTTTTTTTGACGTACCCAGTCTGGTTTAAGGTTAATTTTGGTTTTGAATTTTATTCGTCTATAATGTAATTATGTATTAAAATAAAATAATGTTTATAGATCTAAGACTGACATGTTCTATCGTAACTTGTCTACCATGACTTTTGACGTTATAGTATTAACTGAAACCTGGCTGAATGACAGTGTCTATGACTCTGAACTTTTTGACAATCGATATGTAGTGTATAGGCGTGATCGGCAAACATCTGGTTTCCATCCTTTTAAAAATGGTGGAGGTGTTCTTATTGCTGTTTCCAAACATCTTAAATCACATAGAAAGACAAATTTTGAGAGTAATTGCGAGGATTTGTGGGTCAGCATTGATTTAAATAATTGTAATGATTGTGCTGCAAACAAAATTAATATATGTGCAGTGTATTTGCCACCTCCACTAAAAAAATGCTTGTTAGAAAATTTCATTGAATGCGCTCATAATATGTTGAAAAATAGTAAAAATACATTAATAGTGGGAGATTTTAATCTCGCGTGTATTGATTGGAACTTGATTGATATTTCATATTCGAATAAACCTAAAAATGAATTAAGCACTTCATTATTAGATTTTATGGCTTTGAATAATTTAACTCAATTTAATCGCGTCCTTAATAATAAATCAAAGATATTAGATCTTGTTATGTGTAACAAAGACATCAATAAATTAAAGGAAGTTAAAGACACATTGACCATCATTGATCCACTACATCCTGCAATAGAATTCAGTTTGTCCATGGTGGAGGAACAAAATCTATCATTAGACCCAATTTTTTTGCCGCTGATTATAACAAAGTAAATTCTGCGCTAGACTCTATTGATAGGAAGAGCGAACTTGCTAGCTGTTCTTCAGTTGATGAAATGACTGCAACTTTCTATCATATACTGCATGATATAATCATCAAATATGTTCCGTTAAAAATAAAAAACAGCAAAACATATCCTATATGGTTCTCAAAAGACCTCATAAGATTATTGAGAGAGAAATATAAATACCACCTTGTCTTTAAAAAGTACCAAAATCCTCGAGATTTAATTTCATTTCAAATATTGCGGGATCGATGTAAAGCTTTGCAAATTGATAATTATAATGAATATATAAGTAAAATAGAAGAAGCGATTAAGACTAATCCAAAAATTTTTTGGTCACACATCAAAAACAAGCGGAAGAATAGTAGCACTTACCCTTCTGAAATACAGTGCGGAGATTTAATTGCTTCCACAGGTAACGAAATATGTAACCTATTTGCAGATCATTTTTTGTTCGTGTGTATAATAAATCAAAAAACCAGAATGTTAATAGTGAAAATATAATCTTGAAACCCTCAGTTAATTTATGCAATTTAAAAATCGGCAAAGATGAAATATACAGAGTTCTTATTTCTTTGAATGAACGAAAAGGAGCGGGATATGATGGGTTTCCCGTTTTGTTCATAAAAAGATGCGCCACAGCCCTTACACTACCTTTGAAAATCATCTATAATGAATCACTACGTATAGGAATTTTTCCAGAGTGTTGGAAACAGGCTCTAGTTGTCCCCGTATACAAATCTGGCAATAGAAAGCTTATTCAAAATTACCGGCCGATATCCATCCTTGCTCAATTCGGAAAAAATTTTTGAAAAACTAGTCAGCGTTCACCTCACGTGGCATCTTAAACACCACATATCAATTAACCAGCACGGATTTATGAAATCCAGATCAACTTGTACAAACTTAGTAATTTTTGTCAATAGCTTGACTAAAGCGGTAGATAGACGAATCCCAGTTGATGTAATTCATACAGATCTCAGTAAAGCCTTCGATAAAGTCGATCATAGTATTTTAATACAAAAATTATCCCAAATGGGTGTAGGTGGGTCACTCTTCTTTGCTGGTTCAATTCTTATCTTAACACGAGAATTTCAAAAGTTGTTATAAACGGGTATCATTCTGAACCGTATAAAACTCCTTCTGGAGTTCCACAAGGCTCACATTTGGGTCCATTACTGTTTAATGTATACATGACATATCTGATTGTTTTATTAACTCCCATTTTCATTTGTTTGCGGATGATTTAAAAATAGTCAAACCATTTATAAATTATTTAGATGTAATCGGATTACAAGAGGACCTCGACAGATTAGTTAATTGGTGTAATTATAATAAAATGTCACTTAATGTTGACAAATGTTTCTATATCCAATTCACTCGCAATAAAATTTCGTCAATTCACACCTATACGTCGTTTAATCTATTTGTTGTGCCAGCATTTAAAACTAATCTCGGACAATTTTCAACACTAGCAAGACTATGTAAAATGTATAACACACTGTCAAAATGTCATGATATAGATTTAAGTATGTCCTTGGAAAAATTTAAAAAGTCAATCTTAGATTATTTATTGGACTACGATAAGTATAAGTATTAATTGCCTTTATTGTTTGTATCAAAATTATTTATTATGTTACAACTGTTTAAACTGTGCAAAATTTCAGTCTTGTTAAATTTTTCTTAAACTAGTTTGTAGATATTGCATTATTTTAATTAGGGTATAAGTTTATGTTAAGAAAGCTGTGTCCACCTGTAATTGTTGGAACATTTACGACTTATTATTTTTTTTAATTGCTTTGCATGCTTAAGGTGTCCAATGTTGGTGAACCTTAATAAATAAATAAATATATTTACTTCTTCTACAGCCCTTCCGCACAACGGGTACTAATGTGTAAGCTCAGTTCACAACATATTTAATGCAAATGTAATAAAATTAATATGAAACAAATAACTTTAACGGTTAAGCAGGCACATACAATAGGTTAATTGTTAAAAAAATGTTTTTTGTCGTGTATGTAACTGTATAAAATGTTGTTTGTCAACGTTTTCCACAACTGAATTATTACGTCTTTAAACACTGTGATTGATACTGTGAACGTACAATAGACTTATTGCATGTACCACGGAAATATAAAGTATAACAAGTGACATCACTATTCCGTACTCACTGCATCGCTGGTACTACTGGTGACAGACGAGTTGTCCTGAGCAGGCTTGTAATGGAATGTATGCATTGCTTAGAGTATTGCTAACGTCCTAAATAATTTACTAAGCTAGAAAATTCGAGAACGTTGGAACGAGAACAGCGAAAACGCTTCTGAAGTTTGTCAGAGTCATTGCGTATAGTTATAGATATGAAAAAAGGTTGATTATATCTATAAACTGTAAAACACACGATGAGGGGTGGTAGGATATTGCCCTCTCGCTCGCACCCCAGCGTAAATCGCTTTCAGTCTCGCTCGCAATGAAGTTGCACGAAACGCGAATTAATTTGCTTGTCGGTTTTGTGTTGTTTTACATATGAGGTTATTATCCAATATTAAGTTACGAGCATCTGATAAACATCGTCTAATTAATGTTTATATTTTTGCATAAATTAATTATAAACAAATCCTTCATGATTATCAAGTTTCTAGTCCCGTGATTAATCATTAAGATGGAACCTAAGTCTCCAAGGGTTGAGTTTATATAACAAATACTGTGGCATTAAAAATAGTTGTATTATGACCACCACATTACCACATTTGGTTTTTTGTACTGTGAAATGTACATATTACTATTTTTTTTTTGTTGCGTGCGTCTTTTTATGGTAAATGAATTTATTTACTTTCATTCTCTAGGGCTGACCCGTCAAGTATATACCTTGGGTTGGGCATGCTGAGTGGCGGGAGGCGGCGCTGGGGTTATGGTCACTGATGGTGTGATGCTGGCCCCACCGCTGGCGGAGTTCTGCAACAGTTTTAAGCTTATTTAGACATATTATGCTTCACAAATTATAGTATACACAAACACAATCTTGGCAAGAAGTATTGTTTGTATGCTGGAAACGATATAACAAGGGATGCGCCAAGCATTGCTTCAAATGCTAAAAACAATATAGATAAAAGACGTTAAGATTTTCGTCGGTGTGGCAATCAGCCGTTTAGCTCAGTGGCTAGAGCGTCAGGCCGCGAATGCCGAAGATGTGGGTTCGATTCCCACAGCGGCGACAATCTTTTCGTACGTTTTCTACAAATTTTAATAATATGGTGTAATCAGACAGATTAAACTCATTCAAGAGTCGATTTTCTCTTTGCACAATAATAAGCCATGAGTTAACAGTTTTGTAAATAAATGATATCGTAAATATATATAATGAAGTCCTCCAATGCGTGATAGCTCAATGTTCGGGAGAGATGTGATTACTTAGTTTTGGAAGGGGCCTGGTAGTCCCGTAAGTTGGAGCGGGCAGTAGCTTAGAGTCCGGAAAGAGGATTGATATCCTGAGTTCCAGAGTTTCCGGAAGGAGTGTGATAGTCCCGAGTGGGAGTAACTGCGTTTGGCTCCGGGGATATATATGTGATGGAATTGCAGGCCTGTGGCTTGCCTGGCTACGAGCCTCGGGCGAGTCTCGAGCTGACAATGGTCAGCCGGTTGATGGCTATTAGCCAGTCCCAGCCGCAGCAGCGGCTTATGTGCGCAGAAGTGCGTATACGACCCACGACGTGGTCCTCGGGTGTTGAGGAGAAGTGCGTCCCGCGGCTTCTTGCGAGTTCTCGCTGGAGCGGAACGAGTGGATGGAGCATGGAGTGGAGCGAGTTGGTTAAGATGTTCATGCCTCCCGTTGTCTTGCCGTTGCTGAATGGGCCACAAACTCAGAGATACTTTCAATTTTGAGATCTCTCGCGATGACGTCATTCCTGACGTACCGCTCCCCTCCCACGATTACACGCAACCTATCTCTCTGTACGCGCTATTTGGCAATGATTCCGGATTCCAATGGAACAGCGAAGCAACGTCAAGTGAAGGTACTGGTGATAGTCGTTTGAGCGTCGGACTACTTATCAGGCCCGTCTTTGAATGCATATTACTTTCTTTTTTGAAGACATACGAAAATGACAGAGCGAGTATATGTTTCATCAAGAGTAATACAAAAATTAATTGTACAATTGTAACATTTTAACAGTACCTACATTGAAATCCAAGTCATATATATTAACGAGTTCTAAATGACACGCTATACACAAGCACCTAAGACTTTATGCTAATATTGTTTTATGAAATACTAATAAAAAACTTATCATAATTATACAACACTATAATACAATTAATAGCGTTTATAAGAGTACTAATTGAAAAAAAACCTTAATGGCATATAAATATTTATGTCATGCCATGTCATCAATGCCATATAAATATTAATACTCTTATGAGTGTTCAGATAATTTAACGTTTCAAATATGGCTTTGCACCTTTACCTGTGAACGATAAGGCCCTGGAGTGAGGGTTGCACCGCCGGGAAGGCTGGAGGGTCGACGGGCAGACGAGGCGAGGTTGTTGCCCGCCGCTGAATTAGTGTTGGATCGCTGGGGAAAAATATCATTGCAATAAATAAGATTTCTACATTAAATTGTAAATTTTTGAAGATGAATGAGTAAAAATTTCGGCGCGGAGGGAGTCGAACCTGAGTCTTCTCATTTCGCGCCCTTAACATTTACAGACTAAGCTAAGCGGCCGATGATTTCGTGGCGCGAAAATCTGTACATATATCTACGTTCGTTCTATTGCATTTTAGGTTTCTACTGTCTGCATCTTCTTGACTTAAAGCCACAGACCGATTGGTGTGTGGAATATGTGAAATAGTATGTCTTAAATAACTGCTGATCCAAATCAGCACAGCTCGTCAAAAGAGCCAACACAACAGCTTCGGCTGTTGAACAAATGACCAGGTCTGGGTAAATACCACGACTTCACAGAAGACCGGCGCGAAATGGAAGCCCATTTTATTATAAGGTGTCATCCGCAACGCCGCGGGTGTTGCAAATGTCCATGGGCAGTGGTTATCACTGAACATCAGGTGAACCACCGCCAGCTCGCTTGAAACCTTCTAACATAAAACAAAAAAGATCCGACCCGGTGTTTTACACCAATCCCGACCCCAAGCTCGTTACATAGCATCCCACACTAAGGGCAAAATTTAAAAATAAATAGTCAAACACAGCGTTTCAAACTCAAACTTTTTTGGTGTAGCACCCACTTTACGCAAATTTGAATACCCAAACGCCCCCCAGAAATTCTTTAATATTTTTTTTTACAGAAATATGTAGATTGAAGATTTTCAACATACTGTTATACCTACTTTCTACGGCTATTTTATATAGCGATCCGAATATTATTTTAAGTTTCAATCGCACCCTTAGACAGACCCAGCGCCCACTAGAGGATGCCCCAGTATACCGCCCAGTTTGAGAACCATTGGTCCAACATTACCTTGTTCTGCTGGTGTGCCGGTGGCGGTGCTGGTGTCACAGTCACACCGGGAGGGACGACGCAGCCGCTGCCCGCCAGGGCTGTACCGGTCGTTGTGTCCTGAGTAAAAATGTTTTTTGAGTTATTACTACTTTATTTTATGTGAAAGTTGGTAAGCGAACGGGTAGTTCACCTGATGTTACTTGAATTCCGCCGCCCATGGACATCTAAAGCACCTGAGAGGTGGTAGATACGTTGTTATTCTTTATAAAGTGGGCCCTGGTTACCTCACTCAACAGACGAAACGCGAAGTTATACTTCCCCAGACAAGCCTGCCCTTTTGTGCGATAGCAGAAGCTACTGTGAGGCTTTACCATATTAGATTAACAGAATTAACAGACTGATTAGAAGCATTCAAATATAACACAGGCAAGCTCAGGAAGAAGATGGAATAGACATCAAATTTATAGTATTTTTTGGTGAAGAAAAGCATGGTAAGTAATATTGTCAATGTGTTGTTATTGTTATTTTGTTTAAATAATAGGCGAATGTTTTTAGTATCTCGTATAGCATCATTTCGTAATGCCTATATTTTGCTGATAAAGAAACTACTTACTTTCACATAATTATTCTATTACCACCTTGAAGTAACAAAAAGAAAGTAACAGTCTATATATCTTTAATAGTCTAAACGAAATGCAAATGCAATTAAAGCAAAAGTAAAGTAGGTATTAAGTTTGTAATTTGAAAGTGAGTAAGAACAGCCTATGCATGTCCCACTGTTGGACAAAAGGCTCCTCTGTACAGAGGGTATCAGGGCATAGTCCACCATGCGGCCCCACTGCGGATTGGCGGACTTCACATATCTAAGAAATATTTATTTTTTGTTTTCGAAAATATGAAAATTTTGTTGCATTTCGAAAATATGCCGGTTTCCTCACGATATTTTTCTTCACCGCTGAGCACGTGATAGATCGGCACTTAAAATTAACAATTTCATTGGTTCCGACACCGAGGATCGAACTCAGGTTGCTCGAGTATATCATTATGAATTAAAAGCTAGCACCCGAGCAATGAGATATCAGGGTTATTTATACTATGTATACTTTAGCCGGAGGTATTCCTGTTGCTTGTTGCGACTGGCGTAACTTCTTCAGCAGGACAAGGCGGGTCTCCTCTGCACGGAGCTTTTCCCTCAAGGCCCTGAGTCTCCGTTCCCGCTCCCATATCTCGGCACTGGACAGCTCCTGCGATAGACAATATTGATACAATTATACAATGAACTCAACTTGTTCCAGGTATATATGATATTGTTGGAAGGTAGGAGGGTAGCAGCACACTGCAGTAAAAGGAACTCTACCCGAATTAATAACGATTGTGTCGGTTACTTACAAGCAGGGACTTAAAACGTTATGCATAACGAAATTTATAACGATATCATAACGTTATAATGGTATCGGTACCTCAGAAAACATTTCGTTTTCAATTTTTTTGTACAACGTTATACGAGTAACAGAACGAAATTATTACAGAGAAATTAACGTTATTAACGTTATTATAACGATAAATACGCAAAGTTGCCAAACTTATTTATTTCTAAAGCGCGCGTCTTATGAGCGGGGATCCAACTGTTAGCTCAGATGGGGATTCCCCGCACAGCACGGCAACGTTTTAAAACGATTCCTAAACATTTGTAAACCCTTGCGACGAATTTTATTTAACAAGCTTTCATTTAGTTTCACCTGTAGCGATGTTTGTCATCAATTCTTGCAAATTAAATTTGATCCACTTCCCGGTTAGGTAGCGATTGAGCTGAAATTTTGCATACGTGTGTAAATCGCGTGGCAATGCAATATTATGATGACATGGTACTGATCTGATGATGGAGCTGGAAGGTGGCCATAGGGACTCTGTAATGGAACGACGCAACCCCATCGAGTATCGGCTCGTTGGCTTCATCTTGACGAGTACTTTGGTACTTGATGGTAACCAGGGTTTGATGATGGAGCTGGAAGGTGCCCATAGGGACTCAATCATTAAGCGACACAAGCACATCGAGTTTGATTAGTTTTAATGGGTGGACCGTTTTTAATGGGTGGTGAGTGGTGGTGGTATGGTGGACGTGTAATGTAATATAATATTTACGCATTAAATGAAATGGATGGAATGTGAAATGTTACAAACAACTAACTAGTAATTCCATAACTAATTGATATGTAAAGTTATTAAAATATAAAATAATACTAAAAAGTTAAAAATAATATTAAAAGAAAAACCGAAGAAACGAAAAAGAAAAATGAAAGAAGTTTTTATCGCATACCCAATTTTTATAAATAAAAGCTTTTTAAGATGTTTTTTTTTTTTATAAAAATTTTTTATTTCAGTTTTTTCGTTCTTTCCACGTATCGATTCATTGATTAGAAGTAAATTAGTATAAAATTCGGATTGGCGCGTGTTGCACTTAGTACAACGCAAGTTAGTCGAAACTTTTTTCAGTATTAGAGAATTTTATATATAATATTAAAGATTTCATTTAGTATAAAAGGTCGATGATATTAATTGTACCTTGTATTGTATATTAAAAATGTGCTACATGCGTCTTTAAATGCAACAAAAAATCGAATCAGAATTATTAACTTTATAATGCATAAAATCATATTAAAAGAAAGCATTTAACATAACATAACATTTGAAAATTGCCAATTAACTACTTTGTACCTGCACACCATTTTATCATTAGCACTTAAATTATGTTTTTACGTACTATCTCAAAAAAGTCCCTAGATGAAAACGCTAAGTGAACGCGGGCGATGGTACTAAGTAGATAGCGAAGAAAGGTGCAAAAGAAATAATACTACCTTTACCTCTCAAATTGGTAGCAACTTAAGCAAAAGTTTCTGTTAGTTGAATTGCTGTACCGACGACCACAATATAAGCGCGACAGAACATACGCAAAAAAGAGTAAACCGTTTTGAGTAAAAGAGATGGCATAGAACAATAAATAATAACGTTATTATTTTTATAACAATATTTTAGAAACGTTTAATTTACGAATGTAACGTAACGCAATTATAACGTTATGCGCCTGCAAAGCTTTCCACAATATCGTTTCTTAACGTTTTCTGTCTAACGTTTACTTCTCTAACGTTTCTCTTAAAATAACGTTATCTCACACTGGCCCAGATAACGTTACTGTATTTTACCGGTATTTTGATCCCTGCTTACAACTGTAATTAAACGCTACGTAGTTTGGCTTACTGGCCACTAAGTCCTTTTTAAAACATCATTTATCGTTTTAATTTCTAAGAATATGATATAACGGGAATAAAGTATCTAATCCATTCTACTCATCTACTCTTCGACGACGAAGGTGTATAATGTACTCGCCATTGATATTAATACCACCTTCCTTTCCTTTCTAGAAGCTTAAAAACATCCTCCAATGCAACAGTGAAGAGTTTCGGACGTAATATGACATCACCTGTAATTACACCCTTCTGCAGTTGGATAGGTTTTGATTTTCTGGAGGGCATGCGTTGGGTAATCAATTCTTCCAATGTACACCAAAAAAATTTTTTGTTTACATGGAAAAAACTTTTCGTTCGATAAGGGAACAAATTCACAGTTTTCGTGTTTTTGTATAAAGTATTTAGTTTTAGGTTTTGTTTAGTTAAATAAATATGCTCCTAAGATGGGAATGGCAAGAAGAAAGGTCAATGAAAAAAAGAAAATAAACCATTATTGGATTGTTCGATTCATACCATCATTAATTGGAGGCAACAGGTTATATTGAGACGTAGACAAACGAACCATTGATACCTGTTTGAATATCAATCTCCAATTAAATGGGAATTCTTGATTAATAAAAATCTTTAATATAAATGAACTGTGTATTCGTCATTGGATCTTTACAATCTTGAGAAGGCCCGTGTACGTGCGTTTGCGACGGTGGTAATGAGCGAGTGTCGGGAGTTGCGCTTGCATTGACCGTTATTACTGTTGAATAGGTTCAGCAATCAATAGCAATGCCGGACCATGAGGACGAGAAGTACGTCGACGTATCGCACCATGGATTGTTGATGACTACATTGAGATGTGGACGGGTGAACATCCCCATCCCTCTTGAGCAATACGAACTCACTCTGTGGCCGGCGATCGGCAGCGGGGGCTCGTTCTCCTCCTCCTCGGAGTCCTCCTCGTCGCGGGGCTCCCGAGGGGAGTCGGGCGCCGCCGGTGCGGGCGCGCTGGGCGTTATCGACACGTTCACGCTCGCGTTCAGCTTGCTGCTGACGTCTGGAAGGCAGTGTTACCAACTGTTTAAAATAAAATACTCCTAGGGCAATTCAAACCAAAATTACCTAGATAAGGAAGATTTAGATAATTTTGGATTGAATTTACCATAATAAAAACTTCCATTGTTAATTTTCTCCTCGTAAAATTAGGAAGAAAATTCCTTAGATGGCATCCTTGCTGGAAGCCACGACAAAAATTATCAACAATCGAGGACAAGTGACGGAATTTTCGCACAGTAAAGTAAAAAAAAATCATCACAATCGTTTATTCATTGACATAAGAAACGTACATTTCATCTATCGATAGTCACTGCGCTCTTTTTAAAATCTACCACCGTTTCGTAATAAGGTTCCCTCGCACCCGCGTTTCTGCTCGCTTGACAACGCTTCACATAAAAAAAAGTAAAGGCCATTGACACTGCTGCTTAAAGTCCTTCCTTCAACGGCAAACATTGTGTAATGTCGGTGTCGGTTTAGGGTTACCTGTAAACGGTGCCGGTGCAGGTAAGTTTGGTTTTCGGTGGGGTGGTGCCGCTGGCAGCAGAACAATGTCCGGACTCTCCGCATAGCTTCTCTGTTCCGATCTGGGGCGTAGTACCCGCTTCCCGCTAGCACCCTGAAAATTTAAACATCTGATAAAGAAAAACGCAATCGATCCAAGACGTCCAATTGGTTGGTCCCATTAATAAAGAGTTCACCAAGACTCAAAATAATTATTTTTGTGAATTTGAACTTTTTTAAATAAGGTATCGAAGAAATTTTTCGTCGCTGCCGGGATGTCGAACCAGCGTCTTTCGGGTAACTGATGCTAACCCAAATGCTCTAGCCAACTGAGCTAAACGGCCGCTATCCTCACGGCGGGAAAATTTCGACATGAAATAGCTACATTACAGTATCAGCCCTGTAGCCTCGGGTCATAGAATAGGACTAAGGTATTACACCCCTGCCTGGTGTAAAAGACTACCAAGGAAGGCTAGACTAGGGAAGGCTAATCAGAAAAAACAAGACATTACAGTATGCTCATACTTTGATACAATATTTTACTATGGGGAATCGAATCTAGCGATTCCCCTTGCTGAAGCCAATAGAACTACTATTTGAAAAATTACCATTGACTCGGTTTTTTTTTGGTAAATCGTGTATTTTGGAAATAAAAAAAATAAAGCAATAATACAAATCTGGCATAGAAAAAAAAAGTAAAAAAATTAGTGTGTAAATGATCGTGACACGAACCGCAGCCTTCTGTTTCGGGGCCGCCCGATTACCGACCGAGCTATTATAACATTTCTTTCCGCCAAATTTAACGTCATATTCGAATGATAGTTTTCATTCCCTGAAAACAGGGATAAAAGGACGTTTTCTAAAAATGAAACCTAGCTATATCGATTTTTCGCCCGCGAATCTACGCAGATACTAAATTTCATGAAAATCGCTGGAGCCGTTTCCGAGATTCCGATATATAAATATATATACAAGAATTGCTCGTTTAAAGGTATTTAGATTGTGCAGAAGTGATTGAAGATCGTAAATATGACAGTTAATAACATGTATTGCAATCTCAGAATTTCACTGCTTAACTTGTTTAGGTAACAATTAAGACTCAAGATAAGAAGCCCAATATAGAATGACCTAATTTATAACATTTTATCAAAGTCAAATAAAATAAGCGCTGTACAATTTGTATGCATACCATGGAATACCTAACAAACTAACAAAACTAATATTTATCACTAAGTGGATAATTATAATTTTATGGAATGAATAGTTCTGATTCTGAACATGCAACTACTATGACTAAATCCAATGATACTGTTTTAAGGTATATATATATATATATACAATATAATGGAATTAACTATAGCATATTTCTAGAAAAGACAAAGATATAGTAGCAGTAAGGATCTATAATGTATTGACTGTAGCAATCATATTATTATTAATATTTCAAAGTCTGAGTAACCTAGCTAAGGTTTTGCATTCAGCAGCATTAGTGTTATGCTGTTATAGCAGTTTTAAGCAAGCTTTTGGAAATGTGCAAAAATTAGGAGAGCAAACACATGAAGCAAAATTGCAATGTAAATATTGTTAGGGTATCATAAAATACTTACACTCACCCTTTCAATCTTGGATATGAATGTAAAAGAGAAAAATTAAATATGATTATTACACACATTTTAATAATTTTGAACAAATTAATTAATTGAAAAAGCTCACATGTGGTGGAGGCTGTGCCGGAGTTATTGTCAAACCACTTGCAGTGAGAGCTCTTAATTCGCTCAACTCTGGTGGTAATGACCTGAAAATTTAAATTCAATTACAACTTGGGACTTTACAAGACAATCCTTTTGCATACCACATGAAAAGAAATTAGCAGTTTTCAGTAAGTAGCAAATTTAAATTAAATAATTATATTGCCTTACATGGCAAGGATTTTGTGTGCAAAGATAATGATATTTTATATATATGTATATATTATTATTATTTTATTCACTTTACTAATATTATTTAAAGTAAAGGCATGACCGATAATACCATTTGTTTCCAAGGTTACGCCAAACTTAAAAACTAAATAATTTGGCTCATAATTCTCCTGGTTTGAAGTATATTCCCATCTACCTTTTGCAAACCGATATATAATAGTATCCTTTGTATTTCAACAACATAATAAAAACAGTTTTTTTGGTACAACATTGGGACGGTTGTATTTGTGCTATAAATATTTAATGCAAATATAATTTATATGGCCTTTCATTTGCATTACTTCCACAATGAAGAAGAAAAAAGTACAAAGTCTCCATTTTATATAATACTAAATAAATATTATTCAGGTGTTAATTTTTTAACTTAATTACTTTCATACTATTTAGGTACTATATGTATAAAAATATTAAATTCAAATGTATAATAATAATTTGTTTCAAAAATGTTTTGGTTATTAATTCATTACATTCACATTATTAAACATTTTCAAAAAACATTTCTTGTCTAAATTTATGTCCACTAACCAGAAAATATTATAATATGATAATAGTAGGTATACTTAGTTATCAATTGTTAATTCTATCTAACAACAAGCATATTTAAAAATATAAACAAAGACAAAACCTCCAAATTTTATTACCTGACGCTTAGGTCGACGGCCGAGTCGTCAACGTCCATTGTGGTCCACTGTACTCAAATAATTACGGAATCAATTAAGCAATCAATCAAATCCAAAAATCAATACAACAAAAGAGTTACGATATGATTACATTGAAAGTCATTATTATTTTTATGCCGGAAATGACCTGATTATCTTTTCGTAAGCCATTACCTACTACTATTCGTACTGTGATAAAATTTTTGAGAATGAATGAATATTTAATACCACATACAACCGGGTGACAAATTTCTGACAACTGGCATCAATCAGTGTGATAGATATACAAACATGGGTAACATTGCAATTGATGATCGAATAATATTTGAGTTCCCTTATTTACCTTATTTAATCATCAATGGAACCTATAAATTATCAAAATTACACACTTCTTGTTCAGTATTTTTACGCAGCTCTTGAAACACATCAAGAATAACAGATTAAAAAGCACAGATAAAATTAAAGGATAAGTTTACGTAACAATTAAAACAAAAAACATAGACATGACATGTGAGAAATGCAATTCATATATTTGAATTTACCTAGCAACTAACTAGTTAGTAGCTAGCTGTTGATTTATTGCCCATGGTTTCCTTCCCTTGGTATAGGAATAAAGTTTTTTGATCATGAGTATAATAAAAGTCATGGTTGTTATAGATTGAAGTGTTATGTCTCGCAAATAAATCACAATTTCAACCAGATTACTTCCTCCGGATAGGTTGCACTATTGATTACGATCCAAGCCAAGGTTCAAACCTCCATTGGAGGAGCCTTTGGATTGTATCGCTCCTCACTTTTCCGTCTCTCATCACCTATACGGGTCGTATAGTAGTGGCACCAACGGCTTGTGTTGTCTTCGTTCTTCACATTCGTATACCATCTTCGTTTTCTCTCCGGAGTGGGTTACCTCCGTGGGTTGGCTACCCACGATCTGCGAACCTCTTTCAAAGCTATCAAAGCCGCTGGGCAAAAAGCATACTACACCACAGGAAAAAATAAGGGTGTATACGCACGTAAGAAGTTATACTTCTTTAGCGTAGCAAAATAAAATTAAGTAAAAATTTTATCCTCTGTGCCAGAAACCTTTGTTTGTGAAAAAAAACCATTAAATGTCGTTTGGAAGATATAGGTAAATGTCGCTTTGTAGAAGTTTTAAGTTTGTAATTGTAATCAACTACTTCGTCATCGCTGTCGGTGTGCGCATGCATCGTAAAAATTTTACTTTTATAGTATTAGTTTCTTTAAGTTTCCGGGTGTTTTTCGACGTAAAAAAAATGTAATTAGGTACAGAAAAATCATTAATAAAATACTCACCAAGCAGAATTTGGCGGTCGCTTATAGTTTTCGAGAAAAAAAATTATTTAAAACGAAATTTTCACTAAGAAAGTTCACCATTTTTACCAATTTGACTTCAAAAACTGAATACACAGTACCGCCAACATGAAAAATATGGGAAGTGGGCGAAGATTAATTTTCTTTTTATTTAAAGAGTGACCCGCCTTAGCCTTCGTGATTATTTTTTTTATAACCACCCAGAAAACTTTAGTATAATTGTACTTTTCGTATTTTAAAGACTCTTTTTTAATAATGCGAAGGTTATAATTTGGAAAAGTGTGTAAATTCGCAAATTTATACATGTTGTCAAACACAAAATGGCGGATTAATTTAGTGAAAATAACAAGTTTTAAATATTTTTTTTCTCGAAAACTATAAGCGACCGCCAAATTCTGCTTGTTGATTATTTCATTAGTTATTTTTCTTAACCGAATAAAATTTTTATTTGGTCGAAAACACCCGGAAACTTATGGAAATTTTTACTCTGAAACCAATATAAAAAAGTATCTTCAGTACAAAAAAAGTGCTTTCAGAATTTACAGATATAAAAAGTACTCTTTGCTTGCTTTAGTATATTATAAAGTACTCTGTGGTACCTACTTTGGTCTGAGCTGAGAATGTCATAATATTAATATTTGTTTTTGAGCATTTTGAGGTTAAGTTAAGATTCGAAGTACCATAATAATACTGAGAATTGCTAGGATACTTGTTATTGAATTAAATTCGGTTTTAATTTTTAAATTAATAAGATTGACACAAAGCCGAGTGCATTAGCATGCCGGGGCCAGACTTACTTTCAAGTCAAGGACTACGACTAGATGGTCGTCGGCCAAATGAACTTCGGCGTATAAGATGTAAACTTGGTGTTTTTACTCAACCTGATGGCAGTGCATATTTAGAGCAAGGCAATACTAAGGTCTTAGCTGCAGTGTATGGTCCTCATCAGGTAACCTATTAAATCTCATTGTACTAATTTAAACATACACATTAGAGTAATGTATTTTATGACTACATATTATATGACTACGGAAAACTTCATCTCTTTCTATGTACATAAATTATTAATGAACCTTGTTTTTATTTTTACTTTTAAACAAGTTAATGGTTACACACCAATAAGTCCATACATAATCTAACATCATCGACCTTTGTTATTCATAGCATTATTCTGATTCCAGTTTGACTGGACAGTGAAAACTATGTAGAATTTGCTAATTTGCTAATCAAATTATATTCTGTGCTCTTTCAGGCAAGCAAATCCAAAACATCCACAGAGGGGGTTGTTGTTAACTGTCAATACAGCATGGCCACATTTTCAACAGGTGCAAAAAATATTTCTCATAAGTAATAATCATTATAACATCATATCTGATTTGAAGCAAGAAGACAGTTATTTGGTGTTTGTCTTACATCTCATCTGTTGTTAAGTGATGATGATAGTTGATGGTTTGAGCTTGTTTAAACCTCTTGTATTTTTCATTGAACACACATTGCAAACAAACAAAAAGACAGAAAGTTTTCATGGTTGTTAAACACAGGATGAGACCTCTCTTTATTTCCAATAAGTTATAAAGAAAAAGCAAAATACCAGTTGCAGCATCACATGCAATCAATGTTATATACAGCGTGTCTTTACCATTGTGAGAATAAATGAACACATATATAGAGGATAACTTTTAAATTTGTATTCAAGATTTACATTCTTTAAACATCAATATTTAACAAGTTATCAAATTTTCCAAAACAAAGAATTTTAGAACACCCTTACTTATAAAACTTTAATTTAAAGTTCATTTCTAAAGGTCACAATACATATGAATGGGTTGAATGAATTTAAAAGAGACAAAACATACATGTAAAAGGAGAGGCTTGTAATGCGGCGCTGTGGCAATGAATGAAAAACTATCTGAATGTATAAATCAGTCAGATGTAGTTGTGTAGGATGTTACAAATTTTGTTTCTTTTTTACTTAATTAGTTTGTTTGTAAAATATATCTTTTATTTATGGATTTTTTTTAATCTTAATATTTTTTTATGATTATTGGCAAGTAGCATTAGACGTGTGTTCATTTATTGTTACGGTGGTAAAGTAATGCTGTATATGACATTGATTGCATGTGATGCTGCAACTGGTATTTTGTTTTTTCTTTGTAACTTATTTGAAATAAAGAGATGTTCCTTTTTCAAAGGTGAAAGAAAAAACAGACCGCGAGGTGACCGGAAATCACAAGAAATGTCCTTACACCTGAGACAATCTTTAACAGCAGCAATCAAAACAGAACTTTATCCTCGTTCACAAATTGATATATATGTTGAAGTATTACAGGTATGTATTGATTAATTAAGTCATTCTTGCCAGCAAATTACAAAGTTAGTGGTAGAATTTTTATATTTCATAATAAAATTTTATTACTTAATACTTAATACCTTTAGATACATCGCACATGTATACCAAATAATGTAATTGCTTTAAATTATATAGCATCATAAAAGTAAATAAAACATAGAATCATTGAAATAATTTACAATTAATAAAACACAAGTGAAGTTAATGCTTTAGAATTTAGAACCTCTAAATGTTCATTACTTGATTCCTGTTATCCTATAAACAAAATTTTTGCTCATGAGTGTTTGTGACAAATGAGAGCCTGATAAGCCTGAGAGAATATCTGCCCCTGGTCTACCAGAATAAACATAAGGTTTTAGTTGTGTTATCTTTAGTAGGAAAGGTCACTGTACCGTAATGACAATACAGAACTCACTTGTTGAAATACTTTACCACTTTAATTTTGATTCCGTTAATTAAAGCCCGTTTTTAAGAGCCGCGACAGATCAGCATTCAGGCGCTCAGCGGTGAAGGAAAACATCGCGAAGAAATTTGCATATTTTCGAAATAATGACAGATAGGTAATAAAAATGTGCGAAGTCTGCCAAAGCGCAGCGGGGTCGATTGGTGGGAAAAGCCCTAGTACCCACAGCACAGAGCAGTGCAGAAGCCTTTACCCATGAGGGGGACCTGATGATAGGCTGACTTTAGACTGTGTTTTGTTTTGATTTTTACTTTGATTTAAGGCAGACGGCGGTGCGTATTGCGCGTCAGTGAACGCAGCGACGCTTGCCCTAGTCGACGCGGGTATACCGTTGAAGGCTTACGCGTGCGCTTGCACCGCGTCGATGGCGTGGCGCGGAAGCGAACCCGAGCCGCTGGTCGACGTCGGACACGTGGAGGAAGCTGCCGGCGGGGTCTGCTTAACTGTGTCCAGTTTACCCTCAACAGGTAAATTAAACGGCACATAGATCCCGTTGCGCTAGGGCCGGCCATGATGTTGTCACGGCTTCAGCGCCGGGGGTCGTGGCCTCGATTTCTTCTTCGTGGGTTCGATTCCCACACGAGACAATTGTTTGTGTGACTCACAGATCATTGTTTCGGATTGATGTTTGTCCACGTGAAATTTATTTACGAAAAACATCATTATACAGTAAGTGTCAACATATTCGAAGAGTCTTACCACCCAACTCCTTCCACAAAAACTAATCATGGAAGATCACCGCGATACTGTTCAAAACGTACGCCGCTGAACTGATGTTCGTCCATTTGTTGCACAGTACATTGTTTTTAACATACAAAATGGTTTCGTTTGCACCGTAGTATTACGTCGCTTATCGTCTGTATCACACTTTTGAGCGGTAACCTGATATTAAAACATGTAGAAAAAGTACGAAAAGATTGTCGCCGCTGGGGGAATCGAACCCACGTCTTCGGCATTCGCGGCCTGACGCTCTAGCCACTGAGCTAAACGGCTGATAGCCACAGCGACGAAAATCTTAACGCCTTCTTTCTACATTGTTATTTAGCATTTGAAGCAATGCTTGGCGCATCTATTGTTATATCCTTTCCAGCATACAAACAATTTCGAATATCGTTTTACAACGATAATTCGATCGAGACCTGATATTTTTACTCGACATTACATTTATAGGCCCAATTCATTATCTTAATTTATAGATAGACTGACTGAATGTTCTTAACTTTGTTGCAGGTAATGTTGCCTTACTCGAGCTCTCGCACAAACTTCACATGGACTATTTTGACGTGGTATTGAGCAGAGCATTGCAAGGATGCAGAGATATTGAGGTGACACTATAATAAAATTTGTTAACGATTTACTATGAATGCAAACTCGAGGACTGGCAAAAACTTTCCACGAACTTCGTTCTTTCAAATAACCCCGAATATATAATTGTGTATAGTAGACAATCATGTAACTTTCGCTTCTCACATATAGGTACAATTTTAATTATTTTATGACAATTTTTTTTTAGATTATTCTCGATCGCGCTGTGAGAGACCATTTGGCAGAAGGATGGACGAAGCAAGATGTTGTCACCATATGAAACGAAATAAATATATGTTTACCACTACATTTTTAACTTAACAATCGCCCATGTATTATGGTATTAAAATCCTCAGAATATAAATATTAAAAATAACGTGTCAACTTCAAGTAATTATCTAAGATAGATGAAGTATACCACACGTAAGGCCCATGACCAAATAGCAAAAGATAAAAATTTCCGGACATAAATTTACACAAGGTTTAGTCCTAAACTGAGTTAGTACTAAAGTGACTGATATTTATATAATTACTTTTGTAAATAAATTCATTATATAGTTATACAAATATCCAGGCACTAGAAAAGCATTGTTCATAATGCTAAAGTTTTTTCGTTTTGTCTAGAGAAATTTATAATTATTTAAAAGAAAGTGCAAAGTGGCAATGGCAATTTAAAGAATTCCAGATGTTACTAGATATAAAATTAACTATTGGCAACTTTAAGATATTGTACTACGAGTGTCTCCCTTGAATTTGGCCCAAATGATCTAAGGTTTTACAGTCGTGGCGACAAACAAAAAATAAGAAGCAGTAAAAAGCCAACGCCACGCGGTGTTCCCAGGCGGTCACCCATCCAAGTACCTCCCGGCACTGTGACGTCGAAAGAAATAAGTGAATTTGTACCTACCTATGTAATCTTAATTTTGTTCCAGTCTCTGGACTTTAGATGAAACTAAAAATTTGTTGATAAAGCTGATTTGTAATCTGCAAAATTTTGTCGCCGCTGACTAGAACGTGCAGGTTTGAAAGCTGGCAAAAACGTAAATAATTTTGCGGCAGTTTTATCAAAAAAAATTAATATGATTAATGTTATATTGGGCAGCCGGCATCTAATACGGCTTTCGAGAACCTTCCGAAAGGCCTTTTTGATTCGCATTGTCCTTTTAATCTCCAAACAATAGATGCATACACAGGAAATG